TTCACACAAGACCCTGGGCAGCTCTACCTCGTCCTAGGCACCGATAACACCATTCAGATCACTCATATCATTTCAGGGCACAATGGTTGGGCCTTCAATCATTCATTGTCGTACATCTCCAGCTTCTAGCTGTTCATAACCACATGTCTGCTTCAAACCCTTGCACTCCTCCTCTCCATGTCTCAACTGCACCCTTATGCGGCAATGGTGACCTCAACCTCAACACCAGCTTCGATGTTGATGATGATCTGCTTGACAACTTCGGTGGGGGCGTGGAGGTCGATGAGGCGCTTGTGGATGCGCATCTCAAAGGTGTCCCAGGTCTTGGAACCCTCACCGTTGGGGGTCTTACGGGTGGTGACCTTCAGGACCTTGGTGGGCAGACGGACGGGGCCCTTGACGCGGAGCTCCTTGTTCTTGGCACGGTCGATGAGCTCCTGGCACACCTTCTCGAGGGACTTGACGTTGCGCGAGGTGAGGGTGATTCGGATCTTGTGGATCTTGGGGCCATCGCCGAAGTCCTTCTCGGGCTTGTCTATGTCGCTGTCAGGTTTGCGCATTGCGATGTGAGTGGGGGTGGGCCGTACTGTAAGACATCTTGTACGGATGGATGGGTGGTGTGGAGTGTTGTGGTGTTGGCGGTTTGGCTTGACTTCAGTCACGACCTGGATCCTTGATCACGGTAATGTGATGACTGTGTGGTTGATTTGCGACGGCGTTCGTGTCGTTGGATTTCTCCAGATCAAAATTCATCGAGCACTTGTGGGTAAATCTTGGCGCACTAGTGCTTGATTTGGAATAGTACCGGCGAGGTTCACGCCTGCAGCGACCATGAGCCATCATGACTGCATGACAAACAAGCGAATAGAGTGATTCACAAATAGTCTTTCAACTGCAGTCTCTGGATATCAGGCTGCATCAGGAAATCCTCTACCATTCCACCACAACTGTCGAGATAAACATGTCTCTACCCCACTTCGCGCCTTTCCCGGATGCCAAAGTCAGACAGAACATTCTTCCAGATGAGTGGCGGCTATACCTCGATTCATGGAACTCCCTAGCAGAACTGTATCTCCGATTACATGATCAGGAATTCGCAACGGCAGCATCTGACAACGACAACCTGACTACGTTTCTTTTGTCCTTCTTCCACGAATTGGCCAATGACGACAGCATTGCAGCGAGAGTCCAGTCACTGCGAAAGCAATGCTTTTTCCTACTTCACAGATCAATTTCGAAAGATGGAATATCAGCGAGTCTTTTGAGTTGGTCAGCTTTAGCAGATATCTGTCATGTCTACCCGAAGAGTGAGCAATTTCGTGCTTTGCTGCAAAAGCTATGGACACAAAAAGGATCCACTATTGAGAAGTCATTGCAGACCGCAAAGACTTCGTTGATCAGGAACCTGGAATCTAAGCGACCGGAAGAGGCCGAGAGTACACTGGACCGGGTCGCGCCGCTCCTCAGAGTGTCGCCGGATGCGAGCATCTACATGCTGACTGGATCCGACTTCCTCGATGCTCTATATGCTGCGTATCCAAATGTGCCGCCGCAAATGAGAAAAAAGTTGGTTACTGTTGCCTATCTAGGACTCACGGCCGTTTTAGAGGGGCCGAAACCCAATTTCTCGCTCTTGTCAGATCATCTGTACAGTCTGAAATCCAGCGAAGAGCAAGAGCAAAAGAAAGCGCCTGGAAAAAACACACTTGTTGCGGATCTCGTCACCAATACTCCCATACTTGAGAAGATCAGAGAAAAGACCACTGTCCCCGAAGCGACACGAGCAAAGAATACTGCAGCCTCATTGAGCGCATTTCGCCAATCTAACATAGCACGGCCAAAGCGAATAGTGCGGCGGAAGGTCGACAAGGGTAAGGCTCAGGCTAAGGAGGATGAATATGGCCATGAGGCATTCACTGGCGAAGTACATGTGCATCGGATGAGTATGATTACTCAAATACAGGATCTCTTTCCAGAGCTGGGTGGTGGTTTCATTGTCAAGTTACTTGATGAGTACAACAACGACATCGAGCAAGTTACCGCGTATCTTCTGGAAGACTCATTACCACCATACTTAGCCGACGCTGATCGTAGTGAGCAACTGTGAGTCCTCTACTGAAACCTTGAATCCCTGTAAGCCTTTTCCACACCATACTAATACATCCAGACCAACACCAAGTACACCACAACAGCCAGTTGCACCTCCGAAGTCGAGCCAACACGTGCCCGAACGCCGCAATGTATTTGATAACGACGAGTTTGACAGGCTCGCAGTTGACACATCTCGCCTACACATCGGTCGGCGGGGCAAAGATCTCACTGCAGACAAGGTCCTATCAGATCGCAGCAAAGCACCCGCCAAATCTTCGATTTTAGCTGCACTTGCAGCTTTCGACTCAGACGACGACGAACGCGACGATACTTACGACGTTGAAGATGTTGGTGCATCAGTCGACAATGCAACAACAGGACCGGACGAAGCGGATGCCGATCTTCGTGACAAGAATGAGGAAGCGTTGTTCCGCGCATACACCATGACACCAGAACTTTTCGGTCGTGACTCCGAAACACGGAGGGGCAAGCCCCGCACTGCGCTGAAGAGTGAGACTGGAATGACCGACGAAGCGATCGAAGGATGGGGGATTATGATCGGTCGTGATCCCAAACGTTTACGTCGCCTCGAAGCCAGATTCTCCACTTTCGCTGGCCAACAGCGCGAGCTTGCACCTACCTCATGGCGCAACAGTCCCGCGGGATCTGGCGACGAAGCTGGCGAAGGAAGCGGTGAGCGTGGCGGTCATCGCGGCCGTGGAAGAGGTCGAGGACGAGGCCGCGGCGGACGTGGCGGTGGGGGTAATGTCGCAGGCCCTGTCGATGACAAGACCACACAGGTGGCACGGCAGCGTAAAGATGCGAATAAGGCTTCGAGGGCCAACCACAACCGAAAGGATCAGAGAGGGAAGAAGCTGGCGAGAGCTGGCTTTTCGGGGTAACCGACGGGAACCATGGTGTTGGGTCCGGGTGATATGGGCAAGGAAGAACATGGTCAAGCGAAGTGATGGGGTCTTGGTGTGGCCGGCTTGAAAGCTCGATAGCAGCGCCGGGGAAGCATAGACGGAGCAACATACTAGATGCGGAATCGATTGACAAACCCTCATTCTGCTGCTGCGCAATGCAGTGTCTCGGTACCGACATATATCGAGTCGTGGCTGTTCTGAGCAGGGTGAAGTGATCCACGTAAGCTGACCGCTCATTATGCTAGTTCAATATATCCACTAGGGCCATGGCAGCAGTGAAGGTGACATTGAACTCGCTACGCCTTGCAGAACTCCGCTTCGAATGTGTTGTATGTGACATTAGATTGCAATAAATTCAGCTACAGTTGTTGATCATGTCGAGTCTTTCTACTAGACCATCTCTTATGTTGCAGAAAGTGGACGAAGCAGTGGCTGGTAGCGCTGGGTACAGTCTCAATCGAACTGTAAAATGGCAGATTGGATGATGGCAAAGTCAATGTGCACATGCTACTCTAATAGACTGATATTATACACTGCTTGACATCGCATTTCAGCTTTGTCTTCAGACTCATGGAGCAGGTCTACTGTATTGCTTAACAGCCGATATCTCTGGCGACTTGAATGCGTGTATGTGGGCGATGCCCAAATTCAGCGCCAACTGGAAGATTTCCACAACACTTTGTAACAGGCTCCTGTGGTTTGCGTACTTCTGCCGTAGTCGTGGCGCATGATCTCTAACTCTACGTTGTACATATCTAGCATGTTGCAAAAAGCCCTTCATTGGCCATGCACCTGTCGCTTCCCCTTGCATGCAAAGTACCGAAATGAAGCAATAAACGGTCGGGTAGCATACCTACCACGCGGCCCGGAATGACCTCCACGACCAGTTGTCACCAAACACGCGCATCCTGATTTCCAAATGCATGCCTTCGCACAATCACAACATCTCAGGATGTCCATCCTCGGAGACGACTAGCATACCCCGCATACAGTTAGACATCCCACTCCCTTCCATGGTACACTTTCCCAATCCCCCATCATCATCGCCAAACATCCCCAAGCGCATCGTCTTTAGACCCACCCAGACCCGCCGCTATCCCCAATCCCGTAAAGCTTAGCGAGACTGCGCTCGCTTCTGGAAACAGGGGTGAGCGAGAAGAAGCATTTGCGTCGGTAACGGTTGCAAGGGTTAGCGACGTCCTTTCTCCGACTGTTAGTAGCTCGGACATCGTTGGGGTGCGGATGGATGATGATGATTGATGATGTGGATGTGGATGTTTGCGGACAAATGCCCCACTTCGCGAGCGAGTCCAACGTTCGCTTGAGCCTGCACTGCGCGGTGAGTTTGTTCGCGTGGGTTATGATGGTACAGTATGTAGTAGGAATGGGAATGGTGACGTGCGTGGTGGAGATTTAGAGATTTGAAATTGCGGATAATAGTGCCGATGGAGCAGCTACAGTTTGTACATGTGTAGGTGCGGCGCGGTCCAAGCCCAACAACACGGTGCTTGGTTCACCGCCACATGTTTGACGAGCTTCCTACTAACACGAGACTAAATACCAAATGTCACGATGTCTAACACAGACACACGAAAGCCGAGGCAGCACATGCTCGTTGGAATATTGTATGTGTGTACATGTTCTTCCATCGCGTGTACATGTTATCATTCATAATCCGGACCTATGAGAGTCCGCGTCCGGATCAGATCTTCCGGTTCCCATCCTTGTACAGCCCTATGTGTGTTCGCCAAAAGCTTCCTCAAAAGACCAAATTCCTTGAAAATCATATGCAGGATAGCCGAGCACAATGCTTAGCTTATGTTCTTCGGCCCAACACTCGAATCATAGGCGTGCAGGCATTTGTGCGAGATATGTTGGAGCCGAAGGGAATTGCCTCGACCGATACTCAGATCTCCTCAGTAGGAAAAGAACGCCGACCCTTTGGCAAAGTGTTTCGTGGAAGAATTGGTCTTGTGCCTAAACGAGATATCGCTATATGAGAACATAGATGCAACCCTTAGCGTAGCGAATAATCAAGGTGATGAGTAAGAGATGCGGCGTGCTGGGCTGTTGTCACACCAGCTCGTCTAACATGACCGCTTCATCCGGGTGAATGTCGTGTGCCATGCGATGCACAAAATCGTTTGAGGTTCGGGTAATTGTTGTCATATCTGAGCAAGGTCGTTGAGTGCGTATGAGAGTGACCTTCGTGCATTGAGTTCGTTGATACCCTGGTTCGGCCGATAGTGGTGCGCCACTATGCCAACAATCGCTCTGTATGTCGTGTACCTAGGTCCCAGTCAGCATGAGGAGTTCGGTCTGACTGTGTCGAAACTTACATCAACATCCTTGCCTTAGTGCCATCGGTGCTTGCGGGGCGTTCTCCAAGGCCCTCGAAGAACGCGTCACTGCCATCATTGATGCCCCCACTCATAAGTGGATCGCCCCATATGACATTGGAGAAGCCAACAAGACCTGTGACTTGTCTCGTTTGCTCGTTGATGAGCACATTGTCTGGCTCGCATACATTCAGTGCGACTAGCCGCGGTTGGGTGGCCTCGTCGAGGAAGTGGCTGTTCTTGCCTACATAGTATCGAACACTATCATACGGGACTGTGACTAGCATATCTTCTCCGTCTCGTAGTATGGCTTCGAGAAGGGCAAGGAAAGCTTCTTTCCATGTGTTGCATCCTCTCTTCGCGAAGACGCGGTGTGTCATACCGAATTGGGTGGCTGAGAGAGCAGTAAGTATACCGACGTGAGCTCCCAGGGTCCGATCAATATTCTGTCGCTCTCTTGTCGTCAGGACGGGGGCCATCTCGGATAATCGCCGACCTGGTAGGTAACTCATTATCAGATAGGGAGAGCCTAATGTATTGCCTTGGCCATCGTATTTTATCACTTGCGGGACGGGAAGCCGTGTGTACTCGTGTAATGTCTCGAGTGTTGTTCGTTCTGTTTCCAAGAATTGTTTTTCATGTCGAAGAAGACGTATGTTGGCTGCAGGTGCGCATTTCAGGACCAACGAGGCGCCATCTCCGAGTCTGGCGAGGTAAATTTGTTGAAGCCATCCCTGTAGACATTCGACTTGCTGAACGGTGATCTTTGATGAGCGAAAGACGGCGCGAATAACTCTTTGTATACTTGGAAAGTCGGGCGAGGTAGAACTCGCCCGTGATGATGCTGAAGATGAAGACGAGGCTGAAGAAGCTATCGACGAAGGTCGCGTCAGCCGACCGGAGTATTGCCCACGGCTCATTGTGGTGAAAGGATATACAGCAACATCTAGGGGCGGAAGGTGCATTATGAAGTCTTTCGATGGGCTAGACGCCACAGCAGAGGAGCGGAAGGCTTAGCGAGATTATGCCAGAGAAGGTTTGGTGCTTATGATATCCATTAAAGGGCCGTTCCGCGGTTTAAAAACCTTTATAGAATACGTTCGTTTTGCATGTTGTAAGGATCACATATCGATCGAGCTGATTGTCTATCTCATGTTGGTGGAGTTGTCCAAAGAACTGCATCCTCACCGAGCAACACCGAAGCTCGTGTCCTTTGGTACATGTCATGCTTGGGAGAAAAAGGGATGCATGGCGGCGAGACTATTCGTCATGAGCACCCGACGAATAGTCACCCGTAATTGACAAAGTTCCAGATGCGCCACAGATCGCATGGCTTTCGTTGCTCATCTAGTTCATCGCAAATAAAAACAAAGCGTCCTGCAACAACGGGGCTTGCAACAAGCGCTTCGTCTAATGTCGAATGAGATTATAAGGTATATATTACCAGTGAAGAGTACGCGAGAGGCGTTCAGTGCCTGTTAAGACTGAAGCCTCAGCACTCGTTAAGAATCGCCGCATCTGGCTAGTAGCTCCGATGATATTCGGTCCATGTAAAGGGGATTGGATGCATGACCTACGCAAGGAAGCGTCCAGAAGCGAACACGACCACGCATCTGTCTAATGACACGTAGCGATGGAACCTCACAACTAGGAAGCGAGCCGGTACTTCTGCTTTGATCGTAGGGGTTGAAGCGCGGTGATTGACACTAGGGTGAAAGGCTGAAAGGCCAGGTTAAGCGAGGCAAATCCAAGAGTTGTTTCAGATCTCATTGCGCGGATTTCCAAGGTTAAGCCTGTCAAACACCGCGTCAAAGCGCCCTTCCATCCTCTCGTTCCAAGTGGACCCGGGACACCCCGCCACGCACATGCTTCGATGATGATCCGATGGGTTGGAGACGACCGTGGCAGTACGCTATCGCGTGTCAGACGTGCCTTTTGGATCCTGGCGCAGCCCCCACATTGCCATACGCCGCACCCAAATGCTTGGCTATCTCCTTTGGAAGCCACAATAGCTAGATTCAGAGCGGTGGGCGCTCTCAAGACACCTACAGGCGCTGGACTCGATTCAAGAAACGTTAGTTTCAGCACGATGGTCGAGCATACGTTCTCCAGCTCATTCATGTTCTTCGACTTTCAAGTTAGTCGACGAGTCTACGTGATTTTCGATTTTAGCGTTGCCCGATGAGTCGGTCTTGTTGACGTGCGGTTGCTGCTGAAGCTCTTCAAGATTGAAACGTTTGAGTTTCTCGAAGTCAGGGCCAACAACGCTCATGCCCACAACATTCTGTTTTGTTTCAGCAACTGTGAGGATCGGAGTGGCTGTTTCAAAAGCATGCGTGGTCACACATGTGTGGACATACCTGGTAGATCTCCACGAGAATAAGTAAGTCGTAACCTCGAAGATCGACCTTGTGTCCAGGGCCGACTATAGCCGCAACCGTCTTGATGACATCATTTCGCAATAATTCTTTGTTGTTGCGAATGGAAGGTCTGATGGCAAACTATGGCATCACATGGCGTTAGCATATGTTTCGCGGATCCGCACCCGACTCAACTTACCTTCCGGGCTGTTTGATCCTTTCCATGGAAATGAGGCGCCAGGACTTTCTTCGCAACAGCCTCGAGACCCTTCACAGTGGCCTTCTCAATTGCAGTAATTGGCGTCAAGCGCTTCACATAACGGCAGTTCTGCACCTGCACACCGGCCGCAGTGTCTTGGCATATCTTCTCCACGAAGGCAACCGGTTCAACTGGCAGTCGGGTTTTGAAGAACATCACTGTATACGTTAGCAAGCGGGTCCAGTGAGAAAGCGTCCTTACCTACAACACTGGGTGTCTAGCTTGACCGGTCTGAACAAGGGTTTGATGATTGGCTTGCGGATATCCGCAAGCTCTTTCTTGATCTCAGCTTCAATGTCTTCTTCCTCGGTGTCAGAGACGGCATCTGCCGCAGCGCCGTTCGTCTGCTCGGGTCCGTAAATTTTCGTTGCATACTATGACATGACCAGGGTTAGTCCTTCTGAACTTCATGCATACTCATATGAGCAAGACTAGTACTACCAACCTCCTGGAATAGATCCCGCAGGTCGGCAACGGACTTGGCTTCCTTATTCATGGCGCACGTTGCCCATATGCCAGTGTCGCCAGGTTGAATCACCCGATGCTCCACTACACCTTTACGGCCCGTATCCCATTGCTTTTTACCCTGTGGTGAAAGTCAGCATATGCGTCTAGATATAGCTGCAGGACGATAATGGAAATACGCGGCCAAGATATGCCAGTCCGATATTCTTCGTGGTCGCACGACCAGAAGCAACTTACCTTGTGTCTTTTGTTATCACCACCCTTGTCTCGTTCGCCCGGAACGGCTTTCCTTTTGTTAGAGCGGGCATCCATTCCCACGCGTCAGTTGTGATTTCAAATCTTTGTGAGCGCACCGTGGGAGGTAGTGAGAAGTTTGGCAAGTGCTAGCGGGCCGGAACTAAGAACAGCCGCCATGCCTATTCTGGCGACTAGCGTCCTATTTCCACCACCTCTGTCGCAGCCTCACACTCGGCTGGGACGCAGCCCACAACCATCGTCATAGATTGGACTATGGATCAGTAATCTCGTTCGGTAGTGCATACACTTGGGAAGCCTACGCGCGGCTCGAAACTCATTGGATCCTGACAGCACAAGACACACAGACACAACAGCGGCCAGCATGCAGTAGGCAGTACTGTCATAATCCCTCGACATTATTCCCGAACGTGTAATACAATTCTCTTGATACCGCCGAACGTACCGCTGGCGCTGTCAGATATGCGCTCTTCTCCACAGGACCGTTTCATCCATCGGAACGACAGATTTGTGGCGTACCCGACATGTTGGTTCAGCATTGCTTTTACACACAGATCGGAGGACCTCAATAATCTGCTTGGAGAAGTGAGCCGGTTTTTCTTGCGACATCGGCTCTTACATGCATGTTCAACCTGGGCAATGATGCAATGATGCAATGATGCGGCCTAGAAGAGTCTTCAAAGCCGCGTGAAGATGAGTTGGATGGCACAGTAGAAAGCCTGCTATGCTTTACTTCATTCAATTTTCTTATATCGCCTTCGGCTGGGATATCTTCCTATGGTGGGTTATATTTTACTTCATCCAACCATACTTGCCCTTTCCTACCGCCTTCTCCAGCCCCGTCATCTCCTTGCTTTCTACACCAAGTAGCCGCTTGTACACACCTCCGCCCCCTCCCTTGACCAATTCAATCCTTCTGATCCTCACATCTTCCTGACATCTACCCTCAAGCCCCACCTCTCCCGCTATCTTGGCATCACCGATACCACTAATCCACATCTTCGCAACAATCTCATCTTCTTCGGCATTCCACTCAACGCTATGTTTACGTCGATGTATCACTAGCACGTCTTCTGGCACCTGATCCAACTGTTGCAAATGAAACCAGCGATCGGAAATCGCTCGAGCAGACATGGACAGGGAGGCCATTTCGAGTGCGATGGCCGTTGAGGAAAGGCCGCGACGCTTTCCATCGATGATATGGCCGTCGAGCTTGTCCGTCCAGTACACGAATGAGCCTTCGCGGGCTTTCTTGAGCAAGTAGTAGCGCTGTTGACATGCGATAGCAGAACGCTCGAGAATAGGGGCGATGTCTACAAAGCTCCTCTGCTCGATGTCGTACATGCGGAGGAGCTGTTGGTCATGAGCAGTGGTCCAGCGTATGTGTGTGCGGGGTCCGGGCATCGTGGCTGTATTCGGTAGTGTATCTCGTGGTTGAATTGGTTTCCTGTTGGGTCTTGGTGGATGCGGCTGGGTAGATCGGGCGCCCATTTGTGCTTGAGAAGGTATATCTGGCACTCGGACGGTGTAGCGCGGGCGGGTGTTGTGAGTGAAAAAGGCATTGATACCTTGGACGTTTGGTGTACGTAGTCGTTGTGAAAGACTATCGGCACTTGGGGAACCTGTGCGTAAGCCACTTAGCTGCAGCTCGGACGGATGAGAAGACGCTGGGAGAGCTCGAGAATAGTCGAGAGACAATGGAGAAAGAGATAAGGCATGCATTGGACTAAGAAGATACAATGAAGCTTCATGTTGATATTCGAACATAAACAAGCAATCCCGGGGTGAAAACACATGCAAGATCTTTCAAAAACGCCCAAAGAATACTCGAAAGCCCACCAACCTACTCCATGGCATCTTCTACGCCTGTATTAGCTTGATTCTCTAAAATATCGTTCTCCTGCATAGCATATTCCTCCCCAACCCTCTCCTCAACATCTTGCTTCCCTCTAACATCCCAATCCAACCACTCCCCCATCTGTACCTCCTCCCCTTTCCTCTCTTCACCCTCCTCTTTCTCTATCCTCTGATACACGCGATCCACAACCACCGCCACCTCCTCTCTCAACCTCGTCCTAATACCCTCCTCTTCCTCCCCTCGCCCCCTCCCAGTCATCATTGCCCTGTCAGTCAGTTTTACCCTGGACGCCACCTCCTCTCTCACCTCCTCCAGCACCTTACTCCTCACATGCCACCACCCGCCCGTCCCACTAGCAACAACACACCTCCCGACCCGCTCCTTCGGCAGCGACGCCCACTCGGCGACAAGATGCGCGCCGACATGTTCCTTTTCTATAAATCCGCGAGTCACGCCCATACTGCGGGCAGCCGCATCCTTCATCACAACGAAGTACATCTCTCCGAATTCGAAAAGTATGCCAAATCGGTCGAAGTCTAGCGTGGGCGTGGGGTCATCGACATCTGACAATATGTCTTCGTAAGCCTCAGCAATATCTTCGGAGGTGATGAGGGAGGTGAGGGGGTCAGAAACGCCGATGCTGGGGGAGGGGATGAAGGCGGCTGCGTTAATAGAGGTCGTGGATAGGGTGTTGAGGTCATGGCTGAAGTGCGGGAAGAGGGTGGGTGTGGAGCGATCGGTGCGGGTCCAGAAGTAAGTTGTGGGCGGGCCTTCTGGGGAGGGTGCTGGTGGGTTGTTGGAGGCCATGGAGAGAGCGACTGGGTAGGAGATAGGAGGATCGTGTGTGTTGGGATGAGAAAACTTCGATGGAGATTTGTAATGGAAGTTTCTGTCGTTGTTTACATATGTCGCGGGTGCGAATGCGAGAGAAATTTTCTTGAGTAAAAAGCTGCGTTGCGTGTCTCTTACTTCAGTCCGGCACAACATCAACTCAAGTAAGTGAAAGACCGCGGTCATGAAAAGAAGTAATTGAAACAGGTGAAAGGTCTGCGACAAACGGGTTGCCTGTTTGTTGTTTGTCGTTTGTCTTACCCGTATTTTTTCGTTGCCAGGTGGACTTCAGGTCCACCACCTGAGCACACAATTACTGCCCATCTATCAATTATTGCCACCCCAAGAACCCACCACCACCGCCGCCGCCATGGAATACATCTATGGCGAACCACCCCAGAGCCCTCCGCCAAGGCCAGACGCCGTCCTCGCAGACTACGACCACGACTACTACAAGATATGCTGGAAATCGAACGAGGCGGGCGTGGTTGTTATACCACCAGGTCTCATTAGGAAGGACGACCTAGCCAAACTCTACCCCGACGTCGTGAACGTATGGAATCCCGTGAAAAAAGAGGCGGCGAAAATTGAGAAGAACTTCTTCCAATTCTGCTGCGAGTTCTACGGGCGCCTACCCGACGGCACAAAGTATATGGCGAAGAAAAAGAACGACCGCGGCGTCGACTGCAACCAGAGCCTTAGGCCGGGAATGCGCCAGCACTGGGGTGAGGTTAAGAAATGCGCGACTCATCCACAGACACAGCACAGTACGCATGTTTGTAAGGGCTGCCGCGTGAGTCACTATGAGCAAGTAAGTGCTACTTTCGATCGCGGAGTCCTCATGGCGCAGGGTGCGCGCGTGTTGGTATGTAGAGAATGCATACGCAAGGCGAAGAGGAAGAGGGGAAACCACAATTGTATCTGTGACACGTTATGGATGTGCTTTCGGTGCCGGGAAGCGGAGTTGAAGGAGTTGGCGGGGGCGAGGAAGGAGTATGTTGAAGGATTTTGTGGGAAGTGCCGGCAGACAGGCAATCTTGTCGATAAGCACGAGATTTGCCTACACTGTGACGGGTGGAGGAGTTATGCCGGCGATCACGAGGACTTGTGTGATACTGAGGAACAAGAGGTGGAAGATGGAGACGAAGTGGTGGAAGATGGAGAAAAACAAGGTGGATGAGAAAGCGAAGGTATACATTCTTCTGTGCCTATTATGGGCAACAAGACTAACGACCGTAGAATCATTAGACACATGTTTGGGGTGCAATGACGGCAGATGGGGAAGAGATGTATTCTTCTGTGCGTGTTAATGAACAGGACTGACCCACCCAAGCTCACAATCAAACACATGAAAGGAAAACAACGATGGAAAGATTACCAGTCAGAATGTGAGATCTAAGATTGACTGTATAAAGATGGTAATGGACGCAAATGAATACCTACAGGTGGAAACCCAACGGTTTGTCTGGGCCCTTGCCATCGTGGTCTCGCTTGCCGTGCTTGATCTCATCATCTGCGTCGCGTGGAAACTGCACTCCCATAGCCTTCATCATGTTACCCGCTGGTCCTGCCATACCTGCTTGTCCTTTGAAAGCTTTAAGCATGTTGTCCGCGAGATTGTAGTCTTCATCTAGTATGTCTTCGTCTTCGTCGTCTTCTGCATCAGATCCTTCCTCCTCGACCTCCTCCAGCTTGGCTTTCCCTTTCCCTTTGCTGTCGTTGAGCAGACCTTTGCCGTGTGCTCGTTCAGGCTTAGGGTTGAGATCAAGGGCGCCATGTCCGAAGAGCTCGGCCTCCATAGCCTCAGTCAGCTTCTTGATCTCCTCATCTTCTTCTTGTTCTGCATCCTGCTCGAGCGCGAGAATGCGCGCTTCATCCGTAAGCAATGCCTTCTCGGCAGCTGGTAGCATCATAAACTTCTCGTATGAAGCTTCGTACTCCGCATACTCAGCATCGGCTTCTTCGTCTTCACTAGCATCATCGGCTTCCAGTTTATTATTGGCGCCAGATTTACCCTCCGATCTGCCTTTGGGGCCGTTCTTGGGTGAGGCCTTCGATCCATCCGTACTCTGCCCACCTAGGGGCTCCTCGTTGTCGGACTCATCTGTAGCAGGATCTTCCCAGCCTCTTCCATCGGCATCGGAATCATTGTCGACATCCATGGGATCGAGATCGGTGGCTCCTTTGTGGTCAGCCTCGTCGTCTGCTAGGAAGGCATTGAAGCGCTCAACCATCTTCTTGAGGTTGTCTTGCGCCGTCTTATCCCCGAAACCTTTCCCGTCACCACTACCCTTGCCGGCAAGTTCTTTCTCGAATTCGGTAAAGTCGATGTTCAGCCAACCCTCGTCATCATCACGCTTTGGCCATGCTGCAATGTCCTCGTTAGTGGGCAGAACATCGTCGCCATTCTCTAGGTCCTCTAGTAGTAGGTGAATTTCCCGGACAGGCTTGTTCGAAGCGAAGAGTGAGTGGGACAGCAAGATTTGCATGCCTGCAGCTACCTTCACGCCAATTTCGGCTTTTTCTGCTACGTGCCCGGCCTTTATGAGCTGCTCCAAGGCAGAGTCCCATGGTGGTGGTGGGCTCCATTGTTGTCCTAGAAGCTGTGCGTATAGGACCTTTGTAAAGCGCACGCTGATCTGTACAAAATCGTCTGGCGGGAAGATGAGTGGCATCTTGGACTTTTCTGGTTGCAGGAGTCGGATCGAGATTGGGTCGCGCAAGTAGAAAGCTTCGACTACAGGAGCAATGTATGAAGGGTTCGTGTGTAGAATGTGGGCGACCTTGCGCGGCAGGGGAAGAGTCGCATGATGCTGGTTCTCTGCTATGGCCGCAGGGTAGTTTTCTAAACGATGAAAGGCCTCCTTCTCCACCTTTTGATAGTGTTGTGGTCGGGCTGGAGCCTCGTCTAGAATCCTCAATGCTTCCAGGATGGTCAATGGAGCTGGTTCGACCTCTTGTTTGCCTAGAGGCACAATGAGTAGGCGGTGGTAGTTGATCCAGACCCTGTTCTCCGCGATCTCGGGGTTCAACCATTTGGGCAGGGCGTTGGCTGCCTCAATAAGTAGGAATTCACCGTCTGTGTCGTATATACGAATCCAGGCATCTTTGAACTCTTTGCTCAGCTCTCTCAGAAGCCACACGACAAGCCACTCATCTGCCACACTGTCGCCGTAGTTGGTCCGTCCTTTCAGTAGCCAGCGCCCTTCTTCACGGATGAGCTCAAGCTTCAGCGACTCGCGCTGCCATATGTACTCTCTCAGGAATTTCTTTTCTAGCTGCTGTAGAGAGCGCTGAAAAGCCTGTAAGCGCTCGCGTGTTTGAATGTCGGAGAGCCTCGTGTCTATGATGTAGATGATGTACTCGACCACATCGTCTGGGAGTTTCTTGGGAAAACCATCAAAACCTTCTCCGAACCATTTCAAGTCGTCCTTGGGGAAATCCATGTCGAATTGAAGTTGCTGGTCCTAGTGATGATGGTTGCTCGTCCAGACTGGCAGGCGCGCTTCCTCGGGGGTGGTCAGCAGCTACAACTTTGGCGATGCACCATTTCAAGATTTGCTCCCAGACTTGACCAAATCCAACACGAGCAGAGTCTTCCCGCGCGATGGCAGGCGGCGAGGTAAAAGCGTGACTGCGGAGACATTTCGCGGGTCGCCCCTTCTGGCTAGCGCGGCGAACATGCGGAGTGGGCCCAAGCGCTTCCGTCTGTTTACTTTCCAAACATTGACCCACCTTGACAGTGCAGAACCGCGACCTCGTGCCAAAGAAGAGAGCACGCCCAAAGCCCTTCTCTGCCCTTCACTCATGCCATTCTAGACGACATTACATACCACCATGGCTTACGTACCCGGCACCCCCCAGACCGAGGTCGGCGACACGACGCGTTTCCACGGCGAGCAATTGTCATTCAGCAGAGAAGAGTCGTTCCAAGCACCACCAGACCGCGACAACCTGTTCAAGAAGTTGGGAGGCGCACGAACCCCGCGGAATCCGCTGGCCACTATGCGCAACGCCAACGCAAGGAACGAATTCACGCCGATGCTGAAGAGCGCAACCGCGAACCGGACGCGACAAGTCAATGGCCTGCTGGATGGAAAACTCACAACACCCGCCGCTCTCAAACCAGGATTCAGCATGAGCAACACGCCACTTCCCGAGGCCAGCTCGTACGACATACAATCGAGTTCGTTCGCCGAATCAGTCGATGGCCGCACGCCTGTGCCCGACCCCAGCTCGAGCGCGATGAGCACGCCAATGGCATTGCCGAGGCGAGCAGAGGGCGAGATGGACAACGGCAACGGCAATGTGCTTACCTTGAGGGAGCAGGAAGCTGTGAGTACCCCGCATCCAGACAAAATATTTCGACGCGCCTAGTACTTGCAAGGCGGGTATTTATGCAGACAACATGCTAATATCTATCACAGCGCCTCGAGCAGATCGACAAGGAAAACTTCGGCCTCAAGCTCAAGATTCATTTCCTCGAAGAAAACCTTAAGAAGATGGGCCCCGAATTCAACATCCGCGCACTCGAAGAAAACATCAACCTGAAGTCAGAGAAGGTCACAATGTCGCGCGACATCAAGAAGTACTCCAAAGATCTGCAAATGGCCGAGAAGGCGCTTGACGAGTACAAACAAAAACTACACGAATATGCCGACAAGATAAAGAGGCGGCATGCCGACGAGGGCATGCGCGAGGAAATGGACGAGCTCCGACGGCTGGCCGACGAGCGCGCAGACGAGATCCAGCGCCTGGAGGAGAAGCTGGACGAGGCACGCAGCACTGAGGACGAACTCGAGAAGGTCAGCGCCGAGCTGGAAAACAAAGAGGCAGAGTGTTCACGGCGTGATCAATTGCTGGACGAGCACGAGGAGCGCATCGAGGAGTTGGGAGAAAGAGCTCGAGAAGGCACAAGGTTCACAATCAGACGACGAAGAGAAGGATCGCCAATTGAAGGAACAGGCTGACAGGATCGCTGAACTCGAAGAAGAACTCCGCTCGCTCAAACAGGCCCAAGACACCGGTCTGGCAGAAAAGGAACGTCAGCTAGAGGAACAAGAGGAAAAGCTTGAAGACCTAGAAGAGCAGCTCCGCACCGTTGAAAGCGCGAAGGATGCAGAGATCGAGAAACTCCAGACAAAACTAGACGGTGCTGCGGACGGAAAGGACCAAGAAATTCGCGAGCTGGAGCAACAGCTTGACGAGCTCGAGCGGCAGCTCGACACCACCGAAGACCAGAAACGACACGAGTTAACTGCCGCGGAAGAGCGTCTCCGGTCAGTAGAACGCGAGAAGGATGCCAATATAAAGGAACTTCAGCGCCGCATACAAACCATCGAGAGCGACAAGGAGGCAGAGCTCGATGCGATACGAGAGCGTCTGCAGCTCGCCGAATCTCAAGGTGACAACCAGGTCCAGCTCGCACAGCAATCTGCAAATGACGCTCGTCAGAAGGTGGTCGAGATCACGCGCGAGAAGGGTGTCGAGATCGAGCTCCTGCAAGCTCGGGTCGACAGCGCGGAAGCGAAGGCTGACGAGCTGGACGACTACCGCAGGCAACTCCAGGACGCCATGCAGCAAATCACACGCTTCCAGCGCGAAGTCTCATCTTACGAACAACAGGTGCAACAACTTCGGCAAACTATCAACCAGAAGGATCGCGACCTCAGCGGGATGGACAGACTCCGTCGCGAGCGCGATGATGCTACTCAAGAAATCACGGGCCTTCGTACTACTATCACAGGCAAAGATGCTCAAGTTGAAGCTCTGAATAAGGCCACAAGAGAGCGTGATGCGCTGTCACGGGAGCTCGATAGTTTGCGTCGCGACCGTGACAATCTCGTTGCGAAATTGTCCAGCAAGGATGAGCAAGTAGAAGCCCTGCGCAAAGGCAACAGCGATCGCGATGGATTGGTCACAACCCTTCGGCAAGAGCGCGACGATGTCGAGCGCGATATGCGTAACTTACGCTCGACCATGTCTGGCAAAGACACGCAGATCGAGGCTTTACAGAGGGTCACCCGTGAAAGAGACACTCTGTCGCGCGATCTGTCAAACGTACAGACAACCCTGCAGGCACGCGAGCGCGACATCTCGAGCCTGCAAAAGAAGATCGATGCTCAAGAAATAACTCTCAGTGAGCTTAAGCAGCTTAAGAGTGACTTGAGCGACCGAACACGCGAGCTTGACACAGCGCGACGGACCATATCAGAACGCGATGCCGAGCTTGATGCCCTAAGAGATCATGCCGACGAGCCCGGTACTCAGCTTGACGTTATGCAAGATCTTGTGCGCAAGCGAGACGATGAGCTAGAAAATCTCCGAGATGAACTCAATGCTCAGAGAAGCGAAGTGGACCGCCTCCAGCAATTGGCAGAAGAGCGCCTTCAAGCTCTTGAGGACCTCCGCGACACCGCTCGTCTCGAGAAGCAAGATCTCGACGATGAGCTCGAGGCCCTGCTCGAGCAAGTTGACGAAACCAACGAAGAGAAAGCGTCTCTCGAGGAGAAGATTTCTGTATTAGAGTCTATGATTCGCGAGAAGGAGAACCAGAGTACTGCTATCCAGACCGAAACGCGAGCGGCACAGCGGGAACAAAAAGCTGCGCTCGAAAATAAGATCCGCGACCTGGAGTCACGCATGCGAGAGAAGGATTCACAGCACCGCAAGCTCCAGACCGACGCAAAGGCTGCACAGCGCGAGCAGCAAGCAGCTTTGGAAAAGCAGCTTCGCGACCTGGAGGCACTGTTGCGGGAGAAGGAATCGCAGCTTCGCCTTCAGCAAGCCTCGTCCAAGGCTATACAAAACAAGTCTCACCAAGATGCCATTGACCTAGATGAGCAAGCCGAAGCCCTAACCAAGCGCCACATCAAGGAGATTAATGGTCTCGCTAAACAGATCCAATACCTCCGCGCGCGTTGCTCGCGAGCTGAGGGCTTCCGCGAAGCACTTAGCTACCAGAAGCGCTTCTTCCTGATGCAGATTCAAGTCTACAGTGAATGGTTCGTCTCTCCACCTCTCTATCTCAAGCCATCTCATACTGACATCATTGTTACAGTAATCAACAAGACCTCAACCTCATTTCGCAAATGGGTATTACTCCAGACATTACCATCCACGAGCGCCGACCGAGACTCAAATCTGCAGCTTTGGCTGTCATCGCGGCAATCAGAATGCAGAAGCTGAGCGAAGGCTGGGCGGTGAACAGGAAGATACATGATCAATTGAAGCAGAAGTTGGAGAGTATGAGAAGGTCGAATGGAGGTGGAAGGAAGAGTGGAGGGCTGAGGATTGCGAGATAAACAACCCGTGTTTGGGAAATGAAGTTTTGGTATTCTTACGCATAGCTAGGTGTTTCGGGTTTTGGTTGGGGGACTTGGGAGCGGCGTTATCGTCAACGAAATTGAACGCCTTGATTGTGTTGTCATCGCATGAGCGAATTCAAGCGAAGTGCTCCAACCTCCCCACCACGCGCCACTCATTGAAAGCACGACGATATATGCGCTGATTATTACACAAGGATCTCAGGTTCATCGAAGATAGTAGTATATAAAGTGCTGACTCAGATGCATCGCGGAATTCGGTAACCGGTCATGCTCGCTTCCCGACTGGAACCAGAAGTAGTCAAGCGTCGCCTCTTGAACGTGAAATGCAACATGTGTGCAGTCCAATTCTCTTCATCGCATACACCATGGACAAGTTCGAGCAACAAGAGGAGCGGCTGCTCGAGCGCGAAAGCAGTGATGATGGAGAGGAGATTCGACAAAGGAATGTAGAGGCCAGTGGCGTGAGGAAATACATCCCAGCAATTGTCCTCTGTCTACTCGTCGTATCAATAGTCTGGAACGTAGTTCTCGTCGCGAGCATCCAGACTTTAAGTACGCAGAAAAGTCACATATCAGACTTCGGTGCGTCCATTCCAATTAACCCATACTTCCCCAACCTACTAACGACTCCCACTGTAGCAGGTCTCAAAACCAACACACCAATCCCCTACAAAATGCACACCCCCTTCATGTCCCCAAACCGCAGCATATCCGACCCCCTCTGGACCACCCTCGACTCGCATCCAATTCTAATCGCCCTCTCGCAACCATACATTGCATCCCACGGCCTCGCCCCCTCCGCCACATGTCCGCAAGACCCGTCGAAACAACTCTACCAAGTTAAAGCGCTGCATCATATCCACTGCCTCGTAAGCCACTACCCCCACCCCCAGTATGGCTCTTTGCTGATGTGTGGGCAATTAGAAATCCATACGCATGGCCTACCTCGATGCGTTGGAGGGTAGGGAATCCATGCCTCCGCAACATGTGGCGCATTGTTTGGACGTACTTAGGCAGGATGTTATGTGTGGGGCGGATGATACGCCGACGGCGTTTCATGGGCATGGGAAGAAGAGGGAGGGACAAGAGGAGAGGATGTGTAGGAGTTGGGAAGGGTTGGTGGAGTGGGCAGGTGGAGAGGGTAGGGGGGGATGTTTTGTGGGAGGGGGGTGAGCGTGGATAGTGGTTGATTAAGCTGATGAATTTATGCGTGTCCGATTTGTCAGTTCTTTTGGATGAATGCAGTGATGTGGATTGTGAATTGTGAATTGTGTATGCTCAAAAAGGCTCTCGCGCCCTTTGTCTATATCGCTTTCATATACCTAGACGGGTACGTAGGTGTTCCCCAAAGCGTTTCCTTATCTTTTGGCCAATCTAGTAGTCTTGTGCTGCACTACTTGCGTTCGACTTATTTTGCACGGGAAAGGCTAGGCAGCTTTGTGACTTCGGGTGAGCTCCGACTACAATCCTGATGGCTTGCCATGCATTTCTTTTCCGTATGTTCGTGTTCGAGTTCCAGTACGAATTCCTCCGATAGAAGGAAGTATAAGGTGTCCAGGTGTGGCTGGATGAGATGAGTGAAGGAAAGCGGCGTGACTGCGCGTTGACGCGTTGTTAGCTCCGACGCTAAAGTTACCTCCGGATGCTTGCCACTCTCGCAGCTTCGTACTCCACTGCATTCACCATCATTTTCCACTTGCGATCTCTCGTGAGTAGACACAGTCCCCAAATGCAAAGCTAGGCAGTCGCACAAGCTCTCGCTGCACACATCGACATCATCAACCATGCCTCTGGGCTTTGAGCGCCTCAATGAGCGCACGCAGCGACCAAATGCGCTGATCAACTTCATACGAACGATACCAGGACCTTCCTCCTCCACCGCCGAGAACATCCTCAATCGCGTAGCAGCGGTATGCTACCCCTTCATGAAGTCGAACATGATCCTCGTACAAGCACTCGAAGAATATCCCTACAACACCGAGTTCGTTGGCCGCAACTTCAACGCCGGAGAAGTTATCCAGCTTGTGCTGCGCGATCGAAATGGGAGGTGGCTTCCACAGCGCATGGTGGAGATGGTCATGGTGCATGAGCTGGCACATTGCAAGCAAATGAACCATTCCAAAGCATTTTGGAAGGTGCGCGATGAGTATGCGGTAGATCTGAGAGGCTTGTGGGCGAAGGGTTACACTGGGGAGGGTATGTGGGGAAGAGGAAGAGGTCTGGATACGGGAGCGTTGCAAATGAATGAGGCAGATGCAGCAGACATACCGGAACATTTGTGTGGTGGCACATACGGAAGACGTTCCGGGAAGAGGAAGCGGGGCGGCAAAGACAAGCCGACACTGTCATACGCAGAGAGGAAGCAGCGCCGCATACTGAAGAAATTTGGTGCAAACGGTCAATCTTTGGGTGCCGACGACGACACTAAGGTCAAGCTGGAGGGCGGCGTACCTAAGAAAGGCAAACCTAGGGTCGCTGGCAGTGCGCGCGGAAGAGAGCTCCGAGCTGCAGCTGCATTGGCACGATTTGAGCCTGTCAAGAAAGAAGAGGTCACAATCAAGAAGGAGGAATCCTCGTCTGACAGTGAGACGGAAGACGAGTCGAGCGAACAAGACGCAGCTGTAGACATTGATGGCAAGAAGATGACTGACGACCAAGGTCGGTTCTTGATTAAGATCTGCGACGACGAAGATGATCAAGATGGCAACGCGCGTCGCGAGTTCGATGAGATTCAGGGCATAGCACCACGTAAGGCAGCGAAGACGACCGCGCCTAAAGCGAAGACAGCGACAGCTAGCTCAAAACCACCGCTGAAAACAACACAGACGAACAAGGCGAGGGCGAAGCCCGTCGAACCGCAATCAAAAGGCACGAACGAGCCATCTTCGAGCAAGGTGGTACACTTGGACGAGGTCTGGAAACGGCGGCCCAACCCATCGTCGAAAGACGATACGAGTAGTTCAAGAGTACAAGCACCACCTAAACCTACAGCCTGCATCATATGCTCTCTCGAGAACGAGGGTGCAGCACTTACGTGCGCCGCTTGTTCACACGTCTTGAAGCCGGACTTTGTTCCAGACCACTGGGCATGTGATAGTGCAGCTTGCGAGGGTAGCGAGTACCTCAACTCTGCGGATGTTGGAGCTTGTGGCGTTTGCGGTGCGTTGAAGGCGAAGGAATGAGGACTTTTGGTCATTTTACCAGATGAATTCCTCGGAGCAGGGGCTCCACTACTTTGATTTCGCATTGGGCGCGGCATACTTACGACTTTATGATTTGATACCCTTAGACTTGCTTTCCTTGAGCTGCGGCTAGTATTGGCACAACAATTAAATTCTCATGAATACCGCCTTCAATTGACGCCATATACAAACCCTACCCATATGCAAATGTTCCAAACGAGTTCAGGATGATGTATCGTATGTTTATCTGGTAGTCGTGGGGCCTTCGTGAAGTCCATGGGGTTACATAAGCACTGCCAGCCAGGGTCCACGTCAAGCCGGCAAGCATTGAGCTTGCTCGTGTGGAGAGCTCCAAACAACGTCACTCATCACACGACCGCCTCACCACCACACCACGGCCTCTTAAGTCACGCCCCAATCTCGTGAAAGATACACAAATCCAAACTCCCAATTACGCGACCGCAATGGCGTCTCGCGTCCTCCGCCCGGCGTTCCGCGCAGCTACCGCGGCCCGCGGCTTTCAGACCAGCGCGGTTTTGAGGGCAGACGCTGTTATTGCGCCTGTTAGGAAGCCGGTTGGTGCTTTTAGGGGAGGGTAAGTTTATTTCTAGTTTCTTTGGAGGGCAAAGAAGAGCATTTTTGGCTGTCGCGATGACGACAGCGATGTTTTTGCCTACAAGAAGCATGCCCTACTTCTCGAAAGGATATGGAGAGACTATTAGGACTCTGGCTAATGATGTGTAGATTGTTCGGTTTCCTCACCGGAGCGACGGCTTCCGGCGCTGGCATGTACTACTATGTCATCGACGAATACCGCGTATCGAACCAGCTTTTGACCGAGGACATCTACGTACGTCTACCTCCACTTTGCGTTGCTCAGGAAACAATTGCCACGTAGACGATGGCTGACATAAACACAGGCTCTGCAGTCTGCGGTACAACGGATAGAAGGCTACGTCAGGACTCTCGAGGAGAAGGTCGACACAAGGAGGAAGTGAACATAAGGACAGATGCAGTAGCAAGCGGCAACTGAACACCGTTCGCGCGAAAAGCAAATTGCGACAAGAGCGATGCATGGGCACACGAGCGCCGGACTGGCATGTACGGGGCATGTATAATATATCCTGGAATTCTTCTTCTCCAATCTTTGGTCAACGATGCGCTGGTATGGAGAGTTTTCGAAACCTGGCAAAATGCTACGAGCTTCATTTCGAACTGATCTTACATTGCAGGTCTTGCTGTGATTGAGCTGATGCTGCCGCCAGGATTCGAAGACAGCAGCCCAGCGTGGACGGGAGAGAACTCTTATGATTGAGGGCAACAACAATGACGACTGCAATGACACCACATGCCCAGTTCGTCTAGAAAATCGACAGGTGTTCTGACATCTAACACTACTGAGTACTCAGGCCCAGGGCGTCCTACCCGACTTGCATTCTCGGCTTCAGCTTGCGTCGCAACAAGACCTGGAAGCACTATCAGGGAGGGGTTATAATCTCACGTGCAAGCCGAAAAAATTTAGATATTTACGGTAGCGTAGGAAAGCATTGATGATGTCTTAACACGGCTATATGGCTACTACTGTCAGGAGGTAGCTACTTCCTCGAGGAGGAATGAGTTAGCCTTGGCACGACCACCCACCTCCACAAACCAAAGCCACTTCTTCTTCCTTCGCTAATGAAACGCTTGTACCCACCGCCAGTCCATCCGCGAGTAACTCCGGCCAGGTCGCCAAGATCAATAGGGCGATGCCTATCACGATGCAAGCCAATGAAACGCAGCTACGCGCCACTACCGGTGAGACGGGGCGGTTTAAGGCGGTGCATGCTATTCCACAACACCAGATCCAAAGGGGACATGTGTGACCACTGAGCCTCATCTGCGCCAAGTTTCCGCCCCCATGTCGATCTCCCTGCTGATATCACCCCATGGGCGCCTCTGCATGAATCTTTTGCGAAGTTCCATCTTGTTGCGACAAGATGTCACACTCAATAACTAACAGGTCAGAGCATTCGAATGACCGGATTTCTTGGCTATCGCTACCTATCACCAATCACCACGATGAAAGTGAGATTGATGAAGCTGATACGCAACGTCGAAGACTCTCGTCACCGAGTCCTGTGTCGAGATCGCAATCTCAGCGCTCCAACGACGGCATGCCAGGAGCTCGAGACATCGCGTCACCACAACTTCCAATTGAGAGTGACGAGCTTTTGCAAGCGGACCGAGGCACAACTCGTGATCCATCTATATCTTCGACTGGTGTTGACTCATTGAATAAAGTGCCGAGAGCAGTAGCTTCCGATGCTTCTGATAGTCGAAGTAAGTTCCCCTGGACTTATTACCTTATGCTGAGATGCCAAGCTGATCAAGATCAAGCGCGTACATGGTTGCCGTATACTCTACGCCGTCCTTTCCTGGTTTGCCTCGCTCTGGTCTCATTAGTCCTCGCCAGCATCTTGGTGATCCTCAGTTGGTATTCAGCAACGCATCATGGACTTCGCAAGGACGACGGATCGCTAGGTCTTCTCCTGGGTTGGCGATATACACCTACCATCGTGGCTGTGCTATTCACCCTAGCTCTCGTCATGACCGCCGAAGATGTGAAAAGAACGGAGGCATTTTCCCGTATGGCCGAAACGGAACCTTTCGAGGCCAGATTTACCTTGCTGTACGTTCCAAAGGTGTGGTGGAAGAGTGTTTTCGAAGGCGTCTCTCGCCGAAGAAGCGGAGGCCACCGAAGGTGGGTGCTTACCTTCTCCTCGCTTGCAGCAGGAATCAGCATCCTTATTCTCTCACCCTTCTCTTCCTCAGTACTTATCGCCAAGGAGATCGCCTACCAAGAACCTGTCCAAATGCAGCGACACATACCCGCGGGAGATGGCACTATCAAATTGCAGCCACAGCGTGAGACTTACTTCCAGACCATCAGCGCCTACCTTTACAATGCCTCTACCTCAATATGGGTCGACGATGCCAGTGTGATCCTCCCATTTGGTCCGACAGGTCAGACAATCAGCGGTGAATCGCTTCCTGATGGTCTCTGGGAGACAGATACCATGATATTGCGACTTGAGAACGAGTGCATACCAATGTCTATAACTGGAAAGATCATTCTCACGGCTAACTACTCCTATGCGGACACGGCACTTTCGAACGACACTTACAGTGTAAGATCCAAGGGTTTCAGACTTCGATCAGCAGACGGATGCGAGGTACAAATGCAAACGCCAGTTACCCTGGACGACGTTCGTCCGAACTCTGTAGTCTCTCTCACCTCGCCCGATGATCTCTTTCAAACCGATGCTGTGCCACAATCAGGAGGAATCATCTGGACCAATATGTCGACCACCTACATATCGTGGCAAGACCTGATTCGCGAACGCGGCCCTGTCCCGCGTCTTGATCGTGACGAAGGACTCGTAGTAAAAAAGACCTTCATCTATGATCTCTCTGATCAATGTCGCGGACGAGACTTACTGATTGTTTCGCCGCCTTGGTGGACATCATCATTTCCTCTCAACACACCTCAGAATGTGACACAAAAGGCCTATTGGGACAATTTTACCGTAAAAGCAGAGGTCTGCACTCCAACTATTTATGGAGCGAGTCTGCCTGTTCAGCAATCGATCACGAATGGGATTTCGAGAGTGCGATTCGATCAGGCAGAATTCATGAAACGACGCCATAAAGTGCCAGAGACACTCTTCGATCTTGGTCGTCTGAACGATCTGGCTTTTCATGAATCGTGGTCGAAATACATGGCGAGAGAAGCCGGGCTTCAGGAGAACCAAGGCTTTGAGGGTATATCGATGCTCCTTGGAAAGCACTACTCTCTAGACCAGACCTCCATGTTGCTTAATGAGACTTTCAAGGCTGAAGCGAGCAGACTCCGTAGTCGTTTTTTGGGGGAATTGGTACTTTCATCAGTCACCCAGGCGTCTACACCCATGCTAGAGAACGTCGATGGCAGTGTCACCCTGACAGCACGGAGAATCATGGTGGTTACCGAGATTGCCATTACGCTGATAGTTTTGTTCATTTTAGCTTTCTGCTATTCGATATTCATGCTCTGGACCATGACAGCTGGTCGACGCGAGCTTCGTCTTGAAGCCGATCCTGCAACAGTTGCAGGAAGTACAGCCGTACTGAGGTCCCAATCCAGCCTCGCCACTAGTCTTCAAGTTTTGAGTGTAAAGAAGAGGCAGCATGTAAATGTAGGGTTAGACCATTGTGTCTATAGTACTTCCACAGGTGTGCTCGCCGAAGTGACGCCTGAGGTGGCAGAGACATCATATGCAATGCCTGTTAAGTCCATAAAGAAAGGTCGACCTTGGAGAAGACATCGGGGCTCGAAGAAGATTACCCGAAGAGACTGGAGACCTAGTATGCTTCACAAGCAATGGCTGTTGACACTACTTGTTGTCCTGGTGGCACTCGCGACAGCTATTCTGGTCCTACGACACTATTCCAGGGAGAACAAACTGTATCGAACCGCCTTTGTTTACCAGGTTGATCTTGGTCTATTCAACGCCAGCTTCTCCCCACATTCTGTCATTGCCGCTCTTGTCGCTGTGGCTATCGGTCTCTCATGGGATGGTATTGACAAGCCAATGCGACATTTGCAGCCTTATCTCTCTATGACAAGAGGGACCTCGGCAGCTTCACGTGGCGTTTCTCTGTCCTACCAGTCATCATACTGGCTTTGGGCAGCTACACGGGCGGCTCTTCGTAGACATTGGATACTTTCAATGATTGCTACCGGTACAACTCTGGCTCAGATACGTAAGTGCTCCAAACTTTCACGTCTTCACGCTGTCTGACTATTCAGTGATCATCTCAATGGCAGCAATATTCGAGCGAAAATCTGTGATCCACGCGCAACCTACTACAGAGCTCAATGGACGGATGTATAGCTATGCACTTCGTCAAGAGCCTTTCAGTTTCCAAATTGGTCTTAGCAGCCGCCCTTTCTATTTAGCTGAAACACTTTTGGAGACCTCTGAGGCAGACTGGCTGTATACAGCGCTTGATGAGATTACGTTGAGGAATACACCACCTGCTTGGACGAAAGACGAATGGATATATACGCCGGTGAGCATCTCGCGCTTACCCAATACAACTACAGTGTCTCAGGATACTGGATCCGAAAACACACACACAGTCGTGACGGGACTTGGTGACTCTCCTGCAAATGTCACGGTCACTACTACTGCTCTTCGGGGCAGGCTTGCATGTAGCAATATTCCCGTTCCTGCAACTGGCTGGCTCGATCGAGCAGAGGACGTTTTCAAGAACCGTACAAACGAGCCAATAGCTGGTTGGATATTGCCACAGGTCCTGTTCCAGGACAAGAAATACAAATCTCCGGTTTTTACCGTGCCAAGACGAATAGCATGCTGTACCAATGGTACGGCTCCTGGCGGGCAGTCAGTCATCTCATTTTGGTCTAGTGGTAATCCCATGGCGGAACAAAGACCTTCGGAGCCAGTGGACCCGAGCGGACGGGAAGACCTGAATGTGCCCAGTATATGGTCGTCTAACTTCACGATTAAGTGGATTGTTGGACCCACGTCGTCTACAGTCGTTGATGGCAGAAATTCTCTTGAAAATCACGTTGATGTAGGCGTCGGGCTCGGTAATGAAACACTGCTATATTTCACGGAGCAGCCACTTATGTCGATGATGAGCTGCAGTCCCCATCATCGAGCATGCAAATGCAAGCATAACAATCTCCAGAAGTACCAGTCAGGTTCTAGAAGCCAAGATTCTCACAGAACCGCAGTCAGCTCCTGGAGCTTGGGACTACCCGTGGGACAACGAATATCTCCACCCTGCCATAGAAGATGTTCCAAAAGACTGCAGGTATGACGAAAGAACCATTCTTCACTGATGCAAATGAAATCGAGCTAATACGGGGTTAGCGATCCCAATCAACCCAACAGGACCTGCTCTACTTTTACGACCCAAGAATCCAGAGGAAATGCTAGGTATGAGGGACACAATGCGGGGTTGAGGAAGAAACTAATGCACAATCTAGCTACGGCCATTTTTTCGTGTCTCAACTGCTCACCGCTCCTCATATCGTTGAACCACTGAAGCCACCAAGCTGGCTCGTATTTAACAAGAGCATCGAGGATGTGAGCAATGAACGTTTCAGTATTCGCGACTCCAACAGAGGCATAAATATGGACTTCATGTCATATGCCAACTTCCACCTGGCCAAGTCGAATGCTACCGCTCTGCTCAACGATACAGCGCTCTTCGAGTATTCCGAAAAGACATTCCAGACGTTTTTCAAGCACTTCGCCACCACAGGCAAGTGGACATACGGAGGGCCAGCGAAAAGCAGCGTATACGACAATTACTACGGTCCAGGTAGTGCCGAAGAAGTAAATGGCACATTTACAGAGCGTATTGAAGTCTTGGCAATGAATGAAACTGCGACATGGTTATCGCTCGGTATCATCTTCATCCTTATCGCCATCCTCATCGTACTCATCGCCTCGCTGCAGATCGTTTACCCGAAAGACTCAATGCAGCATCGCATCGAATGTCTAGCGGACGTACTGTTAATGACAGCAGGGAGCGACGAGTTCGTCAATCTCGTGCACGAAAAAGGTGTCGCTGGTCTTGAGAATAGCGATTTTAAAACGAAGCTAGGATGGTTTAAGGATAAGCGAGGTGTCGTGCGATGGGGCGTTGAAATCGCGGATGGTCATGTGGAATGGGTCAACGCGCCAGAGAAAGATGTCGATGATTCAGACGAGTCGAGTTGGAAGAGGTTCTGGAAAATATTTGATGGGTACGTCACAGATCCTACGTATCAGTATTAGTATCGCCATGTTATGCGCCATCAAGGTACAGGTTTTGTAGAGCGCTCTGGCTACTTTCAGTGGTGTGAATGTTGCTTGAAGAGTTTAGCACAGTCGCTCTTGATAGTACTCAGGCATTGCCATCTTGGAATTCAGATATATTAGATGCATTGACTCACGCCTCGATCGCCTATGGTGAACTGATGATACAGACTATTCCGCACACATGATCGATGTTTGTCAATCGTTGTTACCTTTTTTAAGAATGCCTGGCGGGGTGGGTGCAGATACTCGTCTGACAGTGACCTGAGACTTCAGAAGAATGTAGACACCATAAACATATACCAACGTATAGCCAAAGGTGAGAAGAAACTGCGTGTGCTAAATTATGCCGAAGCAGCTACCGAAAGCTCTCGGTCGTATTCTCATGCACCTGATACAGGGCCTTTACCTAGCTCGCAGGACCCGGCCACACATTGCTCAACCTTCTTCTCCTTGTCATTGCACTTCCAGGACTGATGCTTCTCCTATCGCCATTCGGATTTGTAGCTGCAAAACTATTCTCCAAGATCGCATCTTCCAGGTCATCTTCCTCCTCAATTCGCTGCACTACATCTTCCGGTGGCTCCTCCTCAAAAACAGCTTGTAGATCTGCGTGCGGACTCATTTTGCTCCATTTCCAGAAGTTGCTGTCGAACAGCCATGATGAACGCTTGGACGGCCCCGGTCCACTGATTGCGCCGCGTCGAGATGGTTTCCACAAGGCGCGGCGCTCGTGGTAGGCGATCGCGAGCAGTATGGGTGCGTTGAGCACGCGTACTGCAGTGATGTTGATCTTATGAAACCATCGCGGTGATAAGAGGAACTTCAAAGGAAGGAGTACGACAAAAGCAAGCAAGTTGAAGGGTGGGCGATAAGCAAATAGCGAATCGGACTTGACACCCTCAAATGTGAGCACAGCGCGGCGAAATTGAATCTCAGCAGTTGCATCGGCTGCGATTTTGGAGAAGGTGTTGCTCAGGATGGAAACAAGGACGGTCAGGAAGAGAGTGTTGCCGAGGAACGCATATATGACCATCAGCGTCGGTCCCAAGATCTCGTGGAAGCCTGGCGCCTTGTCAATTCCTGTGCCATCAAGACCGAACCATATCCAGAGCATCCATTTGGAGATTGTGATGACGCTGTGAGACTCCTCCCAGCCGACGTCAGGATTGCTGATGCTCAGCCACTTCAACGCAAGCAGGAAGCCGCCAAAGCACCAGAATGCGATGAGACTAAGAGCAGTGAACTCCTTGACCATTGCTCGTAGCGCGATGAAGAGCATGTTCTCTGGCATCAGGTTGAAGGCTATACGGGGGAACAGGATTGGGGAAGCCACAGCAAGGACATCGAGTGCCTGTCTGCCAGTCTCGTCATTCCCAATGACCCACCCGTGAATGCGCATGCCCAGATAGACGATGAAGATACCCGAGAATGTTACGTCGAGGAAAGCCCAGAGTTCTTGTGTATGCACCTCCCATCCATGCTCAAGGCATGACGCTAATTCGTCCAGGACCCAACCAGCCCCATAGAACAAAAACACAAGCTCGGCGTTCGTGAGGTAATGGTCTCGCCGTGTGGTCATCATCCAGCAATACAATGCAAGGAGTATGAGGAATTGTACGACCTCAATCATGTTGCGCGTGCGCGGCACCATGAGGCGATATTGGTTTAGCAACGGAGCTTTTCGGGGATCGTACAACGATATCGGTTTGTACTTGTAATGATCTGGAATGATGTCGATGAAAGTTGTGGGAGTGTACACGATGCGACCACGATATACAGCATCGATGACCTTGTGGCTAGCGGAGCTACTTAGAAGCACTTTGCTCTCTGACACGATTGCTACTTCCAAGGCCGTCAATTTGCCTTCGTAGTCGCCTTGTTGCTGGTATAGAGTTGTGAGATGCCTGAACTCCGACATGTGTCTCTCTGGGCAGCGGTCCTCGGGTGCGCCCTGGAATGGCTGGAAGGGTGCTACAAGGATCTGCGCCAGAAGCAGTAGTCCAGGTTTTCCTATGCTCTCCTCGTCATGCCGGCGTAGTACCTTCATTGCGACAAGTTCGCAAAGATTCGCCCGGGTAAGGTCTACAGTCTGGTGGTGTTGCTGGAATTGCTGCTCTCGAAGAAACTGCATTCGGTTGACTAGCAGACAATACACAATGGAAATGTCATCCTCGTTGTATAAGCGGTCGACAAGTGGTTTAACGATCAAAACATTCATGCGAGGCTCCCTCAGCTGTTCAATAGTATATGGATCCTCAATTACTGCCAATACGAGTCTTCGGATCCGGTGGATGTTGTAGTAGACTTGCAGCTGGGCGTGAGGATACGGCGCAAAGATTTCACGCGGTCCTATTGGTTGGCCAGCCCCATTGAAGCAACCATCGGATCCAGCATGGTCGTCGTCTTCTAGCAGAGTTTCTTGTTCCTCCCTGCTTCGTGCCGCGCGTAAAGCATCGCTCAAGGTTCGTTGGCTGTCCTCCAAATGTGGCCTCTTGAGGAACTTCCGAAACTCTATGTGCCGTGATGGCTTTCGAGTGGGTTCAGGCCTGCGATTCGGGGAAACTTCATTGTTGCTATGCACAGCAGTGCTATCATGACTTCCGTTACTTTGGTGAGAAGATAGGCGAGGCCGGGGAAAGGTGCCGTATGCGGCGCTGGAACTGCTGTTTGTGTGCCAATCTGGGTTGGAGGTTGGTCCGGACATGTGCAGCTCCAGTTGAAGTGATCAGAAGGTTGATAAGAATCAATTGCGCAAGATTGTTTGTTTGTAGGTATTGCGACAGGCACAATGCGCTGCTGTAGATAAGCTACGAAAAGCGATGACGGCTTCCGACGAGGCATTTGAGAACGCGGAGTTTCACGCTAGTAAGATCGCGCTAACCATAGTGGGAAGAGCTCCCTGTTCGAGATTCGGACGTCACCGAGCTGCCTCCCACACCACCTATGTAGGTAGAGACGCCACAAAATTCTGCGTCCGCTACGTAAGATTTCATTGAATAGCCTACATAAGTCCAAAGGTTTTGTAAACGTAAGTACTTATTTCAGAAAGCTCCTGAGGCCGTGCACACCTGCTTTGTGGGCATGCTCATATTATCTATGGTATGCTTCGCCTGCGGAGAAGGACCGGCAATAGGTGGACGCCATAGGCAAGTTCTTGACTACAATGCTGTACAGATCATCTACGAAGGAAGCCCTAGAGAAGAGCCTTATATGACGGCTGTTCATTAATCTATACAACGCATGTGAAGGGTAGCGTCTTGTATTAGTCTAAACCAAGAGCTTTTTTTTCATGCGAAACTATTTTCTTGAGACTGTGCCAAAAACGAGGGATGCTCGGCACCTATTGCAGTGTGGCTGGCGGAAACCATTCAGTAAAAGAACATGGATGTGACTTAGTAGAGCGCTGCAGGACTAATACATTACACTCCAAGGCAAGGCAAATCACAAGTTTGGGCAGTGCATGATATCTGGAGTCTTGAAAGAAGAATCAGAACTGACCTCACCTGTGATCGGCTCATTCCAACCCAAAGAACTTCCATGTGCACGGGCAACTATGACAAGAAATTGAGTGCACTTTGTACGCTTGTAAGCATCAGAACCCAATTTCAGAAGTAGACTTCATATTTTACCCCATAACAATTGTATTTCTGGTATCACTGCCAACAGTCCGCGGCCTAGTGAGGACGATCCTACTCCGCACATTCTTTACCCGCCCCACTTTTCAATGCGCGGCCGATTTACCATCGGACAACTCCAACATTAGAGTTAGACCAACAACGAAGTATCGTGCGTTAGAGTCACGCGAGAAGAAATTTTGCACTCGAAATACATACACACGTGGTGAGGAAATTGGTAGGAGGTCTGACATTCGAAGGTCACAAAGGTAGAAAGTCGATCAACGACCTCCATTCTTGCTCTCATCATCATCAACATTATCATCATTGCAATCGCGAATATGACTTCCTCCATCTCGGAATCAAACTACCCTCTCTCACCACGAGATGCAGTGGCTTCGCAATATATCGGCCAACGGTTCGAAGACCTCCCCACACCCGCCATCGTCCTAGACAAGTCCAAAATCAAGAAGAACTGCGCCGCCATGCTGCAAGTATGTCAACAACTCGGCGTCGGATTCCGAGCACACGTGAAAAGCCACAAGACACTCTCCCTCTCCAGACTCCAAGTCGGCGAGACCGGGCCCGCCAATTTTATCGTCAGCACGGTGATCGAAGCCGAGAACCTGTTTGACTACGTGTTGGAATGCCAGAAGAAGGGTAGGGAAGCAAGTGTACGTATACGCCAGCTGTCAGTATTAGGTATGCATTGCTGATGTGAAAAGTAGATACTCTACGGCATACCCGTCCCTCAATCCTCCATCCCGCGCCTCGTCGCGCTCGCCAGCGCCCTAGCCCCAGGCTCCATCAATATCATAATCGACAACATCGACGCCTTCAACCTTTTTCAAGCCGCCATATCCCAATCCAACGTGCAAATCGGAATCTTCATTAAAATCGACACAGGCTACCACCGCGCCGGCATCGTCACTTCGTCTCCGAAATTCCCCACCCTGGTCAACGCAGTATCATCTAACACGCACGGAGCGTTCTTGAAGGGATTCTACAGCCATTACGGGCACTCGTATGCCGGGAACTCACAAGACGACGCCGCCACGGGCTTGATTGAAGAGTTACTCGGGCTGGAAGACGCCTGTTCCGCCCTTCCCCCAACCTTCTCCGGAAAACTGGTCCTAAGCGTCGGCGCGACGCCCACAGCTACCGCAGCGCAGAACATGCTCTCCTCTTCCTCGCCGCGCGTGACCGAATTCCATAGCGTCCTTGCACGACTGAAAAGTAAGTATTCCGTCGAGCTACACGCAGGCGTTTATCCACTGCTCGATTGCCAACAAATCGCCACCCACGCGCGCCCTTCCACCGCATCTACAAATCCAGCTTTCCAACCCTTAGCAAAAGACAACATAGCAATCCGCATGCTTCTTGAAGTCACATCCGTTTACACGGAGCGCAGTAAGCCTGAAGCTCTTGTCTCTGCCGGCTCACTGGCACTGGGTCGGGAGCCGTGTAAGTCGTACCCTGGCTGGGGAATAGTGACGCCAGATTTCGCCAACACAGGGGCGCAAATCTACGAAGAGACAGGCGAGAAGACGGGATGGATCGTTGGGCGGATTAGTCAAGAGCATGGGATTCTAGTTTGGGAGGGAGATGTGGGAAAGTGTAAGGACTTGAAGGTGGGGGACAAGGTGATGTTATGGCCTAATCATGCGTGTGTGGCTGGCGCAGGATTTGGGTGGTATTTAGTGGTTGATAGTGAGGATGCAAGTGGCGGGACAAAAGTTGTTGATGTTTGGGGGAGGTGGAGGGGTTGGTAGTGTAGAAATAGTCATACTGATGGGGGTATCTTATAATCGTTTACATGGATCCGCGACAAATATGAAGTCGTTAGTGCCGTTGTGAATGTCAATGCTGATTCGGCTGCTGAACCGACGCCATGCCTGCCCCTCTTCCTCTCCCTGCTCCCGGACTTGGGCTTGGTGCAGAGGATGCAGGACGTGTAGGAAACGCTGGCGGTGTAGGTACAGAAGGCAGCGGGTATGCAAGATGTGAGGCTGGCGTTTCCCACTTCATACTCTGAGCATACAAACCAATTGCCTTGACCTCATTCAGGATCTGATTCAGCGTCTGCGAATGCATGCCAGACTCATGCAACATCCTGTTCTGGAAATTCTCGCGGTCCTGCCGTTGCCGGTCATGAAATCCCGCGGAAGATGTCCGCCAAGTCTCCTCCCGCTTGTCATGTAACTCTGCGGCCACGCGCCTGCAATCTTCGACCCATTTAACCTGCGTCGAGATGAGCTTTGCCTCGCGCCTGACAACCTCTGCTATCGAGGAAGTTTGATCGTCGCGGTCGACGCTAGGGCTGGGAAATGATCCGCCGGGGTTCGTGCCGTTCGGTGTCGAATCGCGGACCGACGGCTGAGAGTGCGGCGTTTGCAATTGATCGATGTCGAATTTACGTTTCTCATGTCGGTCTTTGAATCGCCGTAGAAGGCGGTGTACGTGGTTGACACATTCGCTCGTGTCCTCCTGTATATCGTCCCTCAATTTGGACAATAGATCGTCGAGATCTTCTTTCCTGATCAGCGGCATGATGTATTTGTTGTCATCGTCACTGCGCGGTCGCTTGTTTGAGATATCGTCATCTTCGTTGAGTCTGCGCTTCTTCCTCGAAATGAGGTCTCTCTCGAGCTCCACCTCCGAGTTACGGCGCATGGGCTTGTATGCAGAGTTGCCATCGGTGGATAGTGAAGGTATGCTGTCATTTGGTGCATCGGAAGATCTGCGCATTGCTTGCACAGTGACGGGATACTCCTCGCCATCCTTATCAGGTACTAGAGTAAGTACGAATGTTTGAGAGTCGAGCGCAAGCTCCAACTTTCCATGCGCACTGGCCCAGGTACCGTCACGTTTGTCTAGCTCACGCTTGAAGTCGTTAATGACAGCTGCAATCTTTTTAGCCGTTTCAGCGACCAACGGGTCAGTCACCACTCCAGCACGTGAAGGAGTTGCGGGCGACATGGTTGGGTCGCGAGCTTCAAAGAGTGTTGGTTCGTGACCTGGCGCTGCTGGGGATTGCATCTTGTCCCGGCATGAAGTCTAGCGCCGAACCGCAGATGACATGCAGCGTCGACGTGGCCTTGCTGAGGTAAAGGCAAAGTGGTTTCGAAGCGAGGGAACGGCCGACTGAGGCTTCAAGTGCCAAACTCAGTTGAATAAACAGCCGTAGCTTGCTTTTAGTTCAGTTGTAGTGGCTTCTTTTTGATGGAACAGCTCGCTTCCCCGCGGCAAGTGACGATGCGTGCACCGTCTCGGGCACTAGCATGCGCACCAGGCTGCTTCTGACCATGTCGCCTGCAGCCTTCAGGGCGAGGAGAAACGCCGGCTCCAGTGGGCACATGTGTTTCAGCGCTGCAACCTATGATTGCGCCAGACGAAAGTTTGGCACTTTCAGGGACTCCCCTCGCAGTGTTGGATCTGGTCGGACATCCAAGCTTCACACCCGCACGCTCCCGCACCCTCGCGATACACTCTCTTTCGCAAACCTCACACATCACCTTCCCTCACCAGCATGTGGGCCCCCGACCTCCCCTGCTAGGACTGTCTGCGAGATCTGGGCACGAATACCAATCGATTGGCCGTCCTGTGCTTATGCATAGACTCGACTTGCTCTCGGCAGTCTAGACTCGGGTCCGCAGTGGTCTGCAGTGGTTGCACGATATTCCGAGAAGTGACTGATCCCGGCCCTGGGGGTCCAGAAAGGAAGTCCAACAGAACGAGCAGCTCGAGCGTGACCTTGAGATGGTTCCCCTTCGCAGACTATCGCAGCGAGCCCGCCGCAGCCTCGACAGCCACCGCGACCCCTTCGAATGGCACGACGAGCGCGACAAGAACATCATGTCGGCCACCTTCCCCATACACCCGCTGTCATCGATGCAAGCGCCATTTGAGGAGTCGATGCTCGATGCGACTGGCGAGACTGGCTTCGTACCTTTCCAGAACCCGAAGAAGAGCGTTAAGCAACGCCAGCAGATGCTGTGTCGAGAGGAAAAGGCGGAGGAGCTTCAGTGGAACTTCACATACAACTGCCATTGGAGACACTATCCAAAGGGCAAATACCACCCACTAGTGAAGACGATTACCCAGATTGTCTTTGGCGTACATCTGCTGCATCAGCACCTGGAGAAGTCGGTTGCTGATGTTGCCGACATACTTTTGAAGCACGTCAACGAGCTGGATGGATTCCTGCAGCGAGCGAATGAGGATTTGGAAAGCAGCTTGAAAGACATGCTCTTCCGTCACAAATGCTTGAGGGTGCCCATGGAGCACGTCAGCGAATTCGACCGCCTGCTGGAAGACCGCGCTTATCGCGCCCAGCTACTTGATGGCAACGTGACCATCGAGCGCACCATTACTCGTATGTCGACGATGTTGAACGATTATCTCACGGATATGAGTATCTTCCGGGACGCGAACCACGGTCTCGACCTCTACTTGCTCGACATTGGCGTGGATTGGACCTACCATAATGAAGATGTTGGCAAGATATACTCTGCCATGTGTGGAAATACTGGCGGCTGGGCGCAATTCTTGCAAAGTCTTGTTGCCAAAGCAGAGAAGCTAGGCGTGGTTTTGGTACAAGTGAGCAGCTATTGCAACGAGATTGAGAAGCGCTGCGGGGCTGCTAGTAGGCGAAGTTTGGTAAGCATTCCGGTCCCCCACGCGTCCAGAACTTCTTTTGCCCCAACAGACATCACATGTATCCTCTGGCTAACGCCTGATATAGGTGGCGACTCGGTCTTCATCGCGAAATTCGTCAAAATCGCGTGAGCATGCGTTTCGCACCAAGGTGGCACATAACAAAGACCTTCCGCCAGTACCAAGCGAGCGACCTCCCTATATGGTGACAAATGGTAGTGGCACTGCAACTCCTTCAGATATCGAAGGTGTTCAAAGACATCGAATGGCAAGACCAATACATCGAGATCAGATTCACATGATTGCAAGTCCAGAGTCGGCCGGCACACCGAAACGCAGCGAAGAATCGAACTCCTCGTCTGGAAGTCCCGATACTGACGTAGATGTACGACATCGGCATGAGAAGGCGCAGGCCGAGTACTACCAAGAAACCTGGCACAGCGAGGATCAGCGTGGGCGGGCCGCACCACAAGCAGAACCAGGTCGTCGCACCGAATCCAGCCCCAGGCATAGGCGGAACTCATTTGATAAGCGTGCTGAAGAGACTGGGTCGTCTGCTTCGAAGCCATTCTCCAAGACGGATAATGGGGTACACACCCCGCCATTGACTGGAAAAGACTCAGCATATGCTTCGGTATCCGGAGTGTCTGTGGCCTCGCCAGGTAACTCGACCCGTTCTCCCCAGGCGCAATTCGGCTTGTTCCCAAGCAGTGCGCGTACCACACCCAAAGGCTCGATTTCTGGGCGATACGGTGCCATGTCTCCTGCCCTCAGTGCAGACCCTCGCTCTGCGCAGTCTTCAGCGCCTTCTAGCCGACCCGATACCGCCGTCAGCGGCCTTTCCGACGTCTCCAGCAAGCGTTTGTCGAAGCGCAGCAGCTTCACGTCGCTCAAGCGTCTGTTTACCAAAAAGCGTACGGATGGCATCAATTCGATACCCGAATGAGGCCGCGTTGTTCTTTACTTTTCTTCCTTCTCCCGCGGATATCTGGCATTCATGTCTGGCGTCGCTCGGTTATATACCCCTTGATTGCTTTATGTTTGATGATCCGTTCCTTCCGCTTGTTCTTGTATCTCCATTGTTTCGTGCCTGCCGACTTGCGCGCGGTGCTTCGTACGTGGATGGATGTCATGGCGCCTCTTTCTAATCGTAATGTCGTGACGATGAGTATGTGGCAGCGGTACCTTCCGTCTATACTTTCGCCGCTGCATTGTCGTGTGCCTTGCCCGCTTTGTATGATGCGTTTCGTCGATTGTGAGGAGCCATCGCTGGTTCTGGCAGCGGGGGCAGTGTTCCGCATGGGGTGTGTAGAGCGACTGAGAGCTTCGAGTACAGCTCTCCGGATGAAGCTATGGGATGAGGAAGGAGCCCCTCTGCAGGCTGGTGTCGCGGTAACTGAGAATGCTGCTGGTATCGGAGGGATTACACTCACGAGGAAACTGCGGCGAATAGGTAGGCGTACAAGTCCATCAGCTATTATGCCACTAGGCTTCTCTTGCATCCTTTCTCTCTGCTCCCTCCTCTCATTGCGTGTGTGCCTTCTTGCTATCGGTGGTTGGTGGAGCAAATGCCCGCCGTGTTGTGGTGAGGCAGGCGCGACTCTTATACGCTAGGTAACCTTCTCCCTCCGCCTGTCCGTCTTCCTTGCACCAACACCCACCTTATTCTCAGCGGCACTCTCGTTCTTGGATGAGAAGCTGGTGAGGTGGTGCTCCTGACGCTCGTTTCCGCCTTTTGGATACGCTCCGTCTCGCAGCATCGAATTCCCCTTTTGGTCATACCATAGCCGCACATCTTTTGCATTCTGCATCCCAACTCGCCTCCTACTCGCAGCGCTGCCATCTCTCTCAGTTCAGCTATACGCCTCGCAGCTGCCCGCAAAAGAGAGCCTACTCACACGTTTGCCCGGCCATCATGCAGCAAGTCCTCGGCGACAGAGACCCCAACGGCCCTCCCGGCGGAGGCGGGCGCGGCAGCCGGGCTTCTAACATTTCTGCCATGTCTGCCGGCACAAGCAGAGTCCCGGTTGACCCAGAAGCTCCACGAGACAAGCAAAATGCCCTGCCTGCAAGCATCAGGGCCATGACCCGCGGTTCGATCGAGATGGGCAATCTGGGCGGCGCTCTGGGTGATGGCATCGGTGACCCCTCTCGAGCTTCGAATCGCCGCCATGCACCCAGCCGAATGAGCACAGCATCTTCCCAGTCGGCCTACTCAACACAGACTAACCAGCACTCGAGACGTCGACCTCCCTCGTCGAATGCACAGCGAGAGCCTATGCCCCCCATGCCCACTGTGCCGCAGTACTTCGCAGACACACGTCCGCCCGCCACCATGCCCCACGGAAGCTCTCCTATGGTCCCATATCCAAACTATCACGACCCAGACTCGCAGCGGGCGTCGTCTATAACACATTCGATGCAGGTGCAGCCGCCTGCGATTCGTGCCGCCAACAGTCGCTCAACAGGCAACCTTCGCGGCTACGAGCCCACTCCGCGCTCTCACGGGTCCCAGTCAAGGTACTTGCATCCTGGCCAGCAGTCGGCCTCATCACAGTGGTTTGACAGGCCCGGAAGCAATCCCCGACGCGCACAAACACCAGTGGACCAAGGATATGGATATGGATACCCTTCTAGTCTGGGTAGACCGAGGGTACCATCCGATGCGAGCATGGGCTATGGTGACCGAGGTTTCGACGTTCCTCAGCAGTCGAACCGTGGCGCACCACACTATTCCTACAGCATGCCAGGCGACCAAGACGTTCCTCCAGTGCCTCGGATCGACTCACGCTATCAGCAAGTGCGTCCAATGCCGCTAAACATGTATGCGTCCAACGAGCATGTTCGCGTAAAGCGATCCGTCAAGGGTTCTGCCTCAAGCGGTTCGACCAACGTGCGTACCGACTCGGACCCGCCTTCATCTGACATGGCTTTCCCACCGACGCCAAGAGACGGCACACCTCTGAATGCGTTCAGCCGCCCACCAGGCATTCGGATGATGACAGGTAGCACAACAACGACGGGTGGGCTTAGAAGGCCAGACAGTCCAGAGTACTACGATGGCAGCGAACAATGGGAGACTAATCCGCATGTCAAACCTGAGGCAGAGCTGATGCCACCACACCTTAATATAAGGCGCAGAAAGAGAGTTGAGACCGTAAACTACAACATCCCCCCAAAGAATGTCCGCAGTGCTCGCAGCTATAAGAAGTCTGCCGAGACCAACGCCTTGGAACACGCTGGCATAGCTGAGCTTCCTGCCTCCCCTGTGGGTCGGCCCATCACGAGAGAGCTCGTTCACCAGGGTCTGGGGGCGTCTTCCACCACCGGCGACGTTGACTCCTCTATCAGCTCTCCTCCGATGGCAGGTAATACAGACACAATACATCAAGCTCGCGAAGAGGCTGCGATTCGTCGCATGGGCGACCAGCTGAGGAACTCAGCCATACCTCCCGCCGGATATGACGTTACGCAACTTAGTAACCTGTCGCAGATGGACGCAGGTCTCATTGACTCTTCCACGATTGATTTCGCGGTTCGATGTTCGATTCCTGCCATGACAGAGTCTGGACAAAGCAAGCAAGATGAGACGAATTCTGCATCGGCTTCAACCGCGCCAGGAAGTCCAGAAAAGAACACAGACGACGGCATGTCGGAGCTGTTGGCTGGCTATCAGCACACCGATACCAAACAGGAAGATGAAAGCATGTCTGATGACGAGAAGGCCGGGAGTCCAAAGACCATGGAGAACAATGATTCAGAAAAGGACAGCAATCACGCCCAAAAATCCTCGGGCGAGCAGTCTTTCAAGTCGTGCACAGATGCAGTCGAGTCCGCAGCCTTGCCTGAGTCTAACAAGGCTGCTGGCGTTGGCGAGCCAGGCCGAGCTGCCTCATCTGAATCTCGGCATGCAGCAACAGATTCGGACGCTCGCTCATTCAGGACACACAACAACGTCGTGACTCCGGTATTCACTAACTCCATGCCGCCGCCTCGACTGCCCTCTTCAAATCTGGACGTAGAGGTGCCAGCCAAGCAATCCATGACCGGATCGTCCAGTCCTCTTCAAAGGATCAAGAAGAACTTTGAGGCAAGCTCGTTTTCCAGTAAGCTTAGGGGAAGTTCAAAGCTGAGTATGAAGCAAGGCTCAGTCTCGATGTCGGGCTCGTCTTCCACTTTGAGCACCTCGCAGCCGCCTATCGTGCCTCCTAGAGAGTCTAGTGCTTCCGAAGAAGCTCAGCGCGTCAATCAAGTGTCATCATTCTTGATGCGCGCAGGACTACCTTTCCGTCGCAAGAACAAGAAAACGACTCTTGAAGAGAATACCGCTGTAAAGGACAGCGTGGACAACATCACTGGCCAGCCCGAGCAACGCAGTGAGAGCATGAGTTTGTCAGAGACTCTGACCCGTCCTGAAGAGCTCGACAACGCCCTAACGACCGAACAGGCGGTCGTCCAGCAGGACTCTGTTCCAGAGAGGCCAGCAGTCAGCGATCCGGTCGAGTGTCCAAGTCCCACGAACACTTTGCGTGTTGGACTGACATTAGTCCCCGCCATACACCATCACTCTTTCAGCAGCCCTATCGCGGGTATTCTTGGAACTTCCTCGGTATACTCCCCACAGGATATCTCTTTGAGGGGTCGTACGCATTCTTCGCCAGCCGGGGTCCCCATGTCGTCAGAGCATAACCATCGTGACAGTCGCTCGACAACGCATCTGTCATGGGTTGGCCGTAAATCCCTCGGTGTGCCTCCTACGAGTAACAGCGAACCACATCTAGCTCTTCCCAGTGTTCAGGAAGATACCACGACCGATCTGAAGTACCCCGTGTATAGGTACAACGCGCCACAGCGGTACCTTCATGATCTCAAGGAGGACTCCCATGAAGACTCGAGCCTCAATACGAGCGCCAGCAACCTGAAGAATTCTAACTTCCGTTTTCCGCCCAGCACGAGCTTTGGTATCCGTACTTCGGTCGATGATCCGGGTGTGCTCGGGTGCAAGTCGTCTATGGGGTCGCGCCGAGCGAGCGTCATCGAGGATGTTCACGGCCTGCCTTTCTTAGAGTTCAGCGAGGCGAACCTATACGACAAATTCAAGAGTGCGCTTCCCGAGGATGTGCGCTTCTCCAGATCTTCGGCGCGGGCGCAGATAGACGTACCCGATGGTGTGGTGGGGTTGCTGGATTTGGTCGCGCCCGAGAAACTTCAAGGTCCTGTGAATAGTGCGCATCAGGAAAATTTGCCGAGGGTATCTATACAGTCGCCCGGGGTGATCAATTTCAGCAGATTGAGGTGCCGTTCTTCATCTGAGAAGCTCATGGCGGAGATCGACCGGGTCAGCATACCTTCCATCACGCAGCTTACCCAGCGCGTCGGAGAGATGTTCCCTTCCTTGTCACTGGTCGACCATCATGAGCGAGAAGAGTCTCTCGGTCGAACCATGGAGTTTCCTGAGGAGGAGGAGATCATGGAGCATGCAATGGAGGAGATCCACCATGTACACCCGCCGTCGCAGAAACGTTCTTCTGCTCGACTGCGGCCCGTGCGCGGTTCTTCGGCGTTGATGGTTGTCGATGATGATGTGTTTGAGGAGATTTCGAGTAAAGAGAGGCTTACTGGAAGTATGGGTGATAATTGCGTGGGGGCGCTTGAGTTTGAAGTTCAGGTTGGTGAAGCTGGCACACGTGCAAAGGGCAAAGGCAAGACCACAACACGCACGCTATCTCGCCCACTATCTACCGTCGACGAGCTTCAAGTACCTTCGCCCGCAGTCCTTCACCCTCGTACTGCACACGATCAGTCTCTACGCACCTCCATCGACTCGGCCTTGTCGTCCCTGACAAGGTCACCTAGGTCATTTGTTTCGACACCCACAGCAACCGAGACGCGTCCTTGGAACTCTGACAAGAATTATCCGTGGTCCACGTCAACAAACCCCTCTGTTGATATCTCGCTGCCACCACAAACTTCGTTGAAGCAATCGCCGCGTCCCGGTCCGTCACATCTGCGCAACGCTCTATCCGACGCAACGAGCAGTACATTTACTTCGGTACACACTCCAACCCATTCTCGATACGGCAACGCCTCAGGTTCCAACGCGAATCGTCAAGTCCACCGCCTCAGCATCTTCGGACGCAGCGGCGATCAAGTTCACGCAGTCGGCGAGCGCTACCCTACCTCAGCCTTGAGCCCGCCTACGGCTATCTTCAGAGACAACCTTTCCTCGTGCGATATCTCGGACGACGAGGAATTTGCAACTTCTCGCAAACCTAACAGGCTCACGCTCAGAAAGCGTTTCTCGTCCGCCGCTCGCAACACTACCCGCGGCCACACCTCTCCTCGCGCCGCTCGAAGCAAGGTCAATCCAGCAGAGATCGTTTCTCCTGCTCAAGAGAACGAGAACTCTTCCTCAACTCTTCAAGACCTCGTTGGTGAGGCCCGTGCCTTCACCAGTAATCGCCACACCTTCCGAGACGCGCAGGGTATGCCAATTGGCGCGTACCACCGTCACCGCATCGTCGACTCCATCAAACGTTGGTGGCACAAAGGAGGAGAACTGATCCGCACCATCTCTCGCCGCGGCAACGACCAGCAGGATGTCGTCCCAGCTCGCGATTGAGCTGATCCTGCACCGCAAGCTCGTCCAGGACTACAGCTGGGAGCTATATCTGGTCGGATACTCCGCCGAGATGGAGTTCGAGGTGGCTGTGGTTGTCGTCGGGCTCCCCTGCCCTCCTCCACCCCCCAATACCCCGGTCCCCTCTCCCTCTCCAACCCCGTTCCCCTCCCCGCCGCCCTCTCCTCCTCGCACCTAGGGTAGCAGTTGCTACCCTACTGTGGCGTTGAGTGATGGCGGTGGGCTTATACTGGGTAACACTAGTATATTAACGATTATGGATGGTCAATGGGGCACGCATATCAGTAGATAGTCACTAGCTAGTGCATAGCATATGGAAAGCAAGGACTATCTAAATCTGGTTGATTACTGCTTGCTTGTGATGTGCAGCTCGGTGATGAGTTGGCAATCAGTTCAAGCTTCAACTTGATGTCCACTCAGTGCAGATATGTCAAGTAAGGTCAAAGTGTTTTTAGAGCCTCCTCGATGTTGTATCAGGTTTTCAGTGACTACTCTTAGTACTGCGAAGGTAGGCAGCTTTCAGGCCTATTCGATCTTATATTGCTACTTCAGGTTGTATCGAAGTAAGCTAATAGACTCCTAGCATATACATTAGACTACGCTCAGCACTTTATCATGCTGTGAACATAGACAGCTATACTGATCGAGCGACACAAAGAGCATAGCAAACAATGAATCGACAAGTGCCTCGAATCGTCAAGACACGAATCTTTAACGCTACATACGTCCGCGAAGATAAACAGCTGTTGCAATCAAGCAACACCAAGAGGACACAGAAGACTTTGGTTGACAATTGTCTCGCGTCCTCAATAAACCACACCTGATGCTATAGACGTCCGCGAGGATAGACAGGCCACTACATCACACAAACATCCAGCCATCGCATTGCCAACACGACGTCACCAGCCGCTTCGACGTTCCCTGGGCCAGCTCCACCCCTCCCGACAAGTTTCGGGAGATCGACGCATCGCCATGTGCACAGTCGCTAGTCTTGCGTATCCCGTCCGTAATCATTGAAGTTTTTTCTTCAGCTTCGTATCGAGGCGAGGGATAGCGAGGTTTTGTTAGCTTGGTACGTTACAGTTAGGTATGATTGAGGGCCTTTGTGCGGGAAAATATCGGCGTCGTGCGCAGGTGTGGCTGGCGGAGTGCGGGTAACTTGATGTGGCTGGCCATACGCTATTGGAATGGTATGGCGGCTAGAGATGCGGATTTGGATATGGGGTTTTGATACGGGGTGGGGACTGAGCGAGTGGAGGAGAGGTGCCGCGTCTAAGTGCCGATGGTATAGACGAGGCTGAAGTTATCTTCGTCGATGGAGTTTGGGGCTCTGTTGGGACCTTCTGGAGATTGCTTACCTCCATTGCCAGCTCTGCGCGAGATGAAGGTAGCTCACTCTTCCAAATCTCGATCTCGATCTCAGCACAGGATGTTGGGTGCGCGTGCGACATCAGCATGCGATAGCAGGCTTTGTCTTTCCGCTCTTTCAAATCAGAATGTTTGAGTGGACGACCCAGATGCAGGAACGAGCGAGGGACGGCGCGAAGCCGGGAGCGTCTCCTGAGCTTGTCATTGGCTTCAAGACTGGGAAAAGCATACGTCATGCCGTCGAATGCTGGAATATTGGTGCAAGTTGAATAATTGGGCGGCTCCATAAGCCTGGTCAATCGAGCGTTATCGACCAGCTCCGTCGGAAAGGTGCCGTGAGTGGGTGGGAGCTAGACGCGACAGGAAGACGTGTGAGTCCATTCGATACTCTGAACGCGGATCGTACCGTCTGATATTGCTCATTTACTTCTGGCAAGTTTTTACGTGATTGCGCCATGTTCTCACCTAGCTCCCACTGTCTCAGCTCTAGTCTGGTCACGATGAGCGTTAGAGTCGCTTCTGCCTCGGGATACAGGCGAGTAATCATGTGCAATTTCTTGAAGTCTGAATAGACTTTGTACGAAGCTGGCGTGCTCTCGGTTGTTCGGCACTGAAGAAGTTGCGCGGAAACGTGGTAGCGCGCGTGCTAAGCTTTGGCTACCAGATACACCAGCAACGCGGAATGACGTGGTGCGACGTGTGCGGGACATGGGGGTAGTAGATTCTAGAGCATTGTGGGTACTTTGGGAGACATGTCGATCGCTGTATCGTACCTTTGTCTCAACCATCTGTACACGCGGCATTACACTACTTGCAAATGTGATTTGTGGAGCTTCGAGGATGTTGGAGAAGTCTTTTTGGTTGTGGCGCTTTTCTGGCTCGATGACTATTATCTGACATGAAGAATGCTAGTGATAGGATCGGAAAATGCTTTGATTTGTATTCTTATCATGCACCCAATAACACACAGGCAAACTGCGCATGTCCACTGTAGTGAGAGCATGGTCACTAGAGCTTCGCCGATGTAAGCACATAGTGTGTCTATGCATGCCATCCGCGATATACGATCTTGCAGCCGTACTTCTCGCCCTTCTTGAGCGTCATCTGAGACTTCCAGTCCGGGACATTGATGGCGTTGACGTAGCGAGCTGGTTCGACGCAGAAGCCTGCACGGGAGCCCCGAGCCGGAAGACCTTCGACTGCGGGTACATCGATGTGCTTGCCTGTGTAGAACTGGAAAGTTGGTTCTGTACTAGAAACCTCCAGGTGGATCTTGCTTTCTGGGTGGTAGAATGAAGCAAGCTTCTGCAGAGATCTCGAGCGGGTGTCGATTGGAACGTTCTTTGCATCAGTGTCGACGACAAAGCAATGGTCAATATCGGGCTCTTGATCGCCGAGAGTGAACTTGGTGTTTGCCTTGACACCCGGGAACTCTTCGATAGTGCCTTTGGGGGTTAAGTTCTCGTCCACCACCAAGTACTTGTTTGTGGACAAGGTAACCTCTGTTCCTGCAATGTTAGACCCTTCAGTCAGATTGAAGTAGCTAGGATTATCGTTAGATACCACTCGGATTACATGTCCAAGAACTTACCTGTGGTTTGTGATGCTGATAGCAGTTTCGTTGACTTCATCTCCAACCAGCTCGGCCTCATATTCGATATGGAGAACCTCGTGCTGAGCACCATCAACGTTCTCAGTCTCCTGAACATACCATACCCTGAACTCTACTGTGCCGGGGTAGCCCTCTTCTCCGTCTTTGCTGACATACTTGAAAAGAGTAGCCTCCTTGCCGTTGCGATCTACACTAGAAGGACCTTCAAACTCCCGCTTTCCCCAACCGTTGATACCGCCATGGAGAGAGTTTGGCGCGTTGTTGGCAGCAAGGGGATACGACTTTCCATTCAAGTCATTGATCTTCGCATTTGACACTCGGTTCGCAATGCGGCCAATGGTCTCTCCAAAGTATGGAGCATTATACTTCTTGTACAGCTCGGCTGTCGGGAAACCCTGGACAATGTTCTTGCCATTGACTGTAAACTTCTGGATGATGGCACCCAATGGTAGGAATGCAAAGGCCTTGGCTGAAGACATGGCGAGCTTGACGTCTCTATATGTCTAGTTTCTTGATGGTTGTGCTATAGTTTGATCTGCAGTGCACACCTTAGTCTAGGCTCCGACATGGGTCAAGTCTGAAGAGTCGGTGAAGTGATGTGCTTTCATGGGCTGATGTGAAGCTCGTTCCGGTTATGTGAGGGGTCGATTGCATGCAAGTGAGGGGCAAGCTGTAGAGCGGGGCTAATGCAGTCGCAAGACTCACCTGAGCTGTCTCTCGGAGTCCGGTTGGTCCTGAAGCTGTCTTGATAAGGTACGGGAGTCAATCGATACTCTCGACAATCATGTGTCGTTGTGAGTGGGGAGCAGAGATGTATACCACATGTTTGTAAAGCGGTGCTGTTGATTAGCCTAATCAGGAGGTGGAGCCCATCAATTCTCCCGTCTTGCCCTCAACACGTGAGTGGTGCCTCAATATCGAGTATGAAGGCCGACACTTCTGATCGGAACGCCCAATTCGGAAACTCAACAGCCACGATGGTTTGTCGGAAGGTGAGGTGCGGCAGCCGCGATCCCTGCGAAATTCGTGCGATTAGAGTTGTACTATCTTAGTAAGCAAAGTCTGTGCGCCATGTAAAAACGTCACATTCGAATCGTGCATGCATTGTGGTTGATGTTTGTGATTATCTTCAGTTATCCAATGATGAACATTCTTCATTCTTTTTGGCCACCTGAAGTTGGCCGATTAAGACGCCGTTGGGGCAGAACCAGACGTTGTCGTCATAGTGAACCGTGAATGGAGATCCGAGTAAACGATAATCATGATGTCAGGAAAAACACAAATGCCGCCCCAGTGTTCGATGCTCCGATAGCACCGAAAGACCGAAAACGGACCCGAGCGCCGATTGTTACCCTATTGCAGAATGCTTGAACGCTACACAAAAAACGGAGGACGAACGGAGATGTCAACCGAGCCAATCATCATGCGCCTACAGGGTTTTGTATGTACGAACCGAAGTCCAGTTCCGTGTTGTTATTCCAATCCGGCATCATTGGATCGTTGGGGCTGAGGGCGAGGGTGTCCATCATTGGGTCGTACCCTGAGAAGTTCTCGAATCCATACATAGGCTTGAAGTCCATAGGCTCGTCCATCATCATGGAGTCGTTCATCCACGAGGTCTGCGAAAGCGTTGACGGGTCAAGCGCACTTGTGCTCATGAAAGTTGGCGAGACCATTGGTGATTCTTGCTTGACTGGTGAGACGATCTGCGACTGTCGGGGAAACGGGCTGGTCATGGGAGGTGTTGGAGGCGCATTGGGTCGAGCGAAGGGGTTATCGAGAGCAAATGATCGCGTGGTGGGAGTGCCGCCAGATGATGAATTCGAGGATGCATGGCCATGGTCTGACTCAGAGCTGAAGGACCGTCGCCTGCGAGTGAATGGCGCGCCTCGTTCCAGCAACTTCTGTTGCATTCGGCCACAGTCCTCCTCGAATCCTTCGTGATTGCCATTGTTCTCCCCTAATGGATGTAAGAGTCCGAGCCGCTCAAGAATATCGTGGGTCAGCGGGTGGCCTCCGGACGATTCGCGCAATGGTTGTCCCGGCCAGCTCTCGCCCATTTGTAACCGGCTGTATAGTTCTCGGAGACCCGCTACGAGTTGAGTTTGTTGCTGCTCAAGCATTTCAACGTATCTGAGAAAGTTAGCACTTTTCTTGATCTGCTATTATACACTGCGAGTGACGCACCCTTTTGGATAGACCTTGTCTTGCGACTTTTTCCGCTCTCCGAAGACGCAAATGGCGTTGTCAGCTTTACACCGACTGCATGGGCTGGCTCCGTCGCACTGCCCTCGTTAGTCTGTGAGACGAAGTGTGAGCTGAAACCAAACATACTTTTGACTTTTTTAATCGGCAGCGGTCGCAAGCTTTACAGACTCGCTTCCTGATGTTATCTTGGGCCTCCATTGAACTCGACCGGTGCGAGGACATGACGGTGTATGATTAAAGTGTGTGTATAGTGAAGCCGAATTGAATATATTGGTTGATGATACTCAAGCAGTGTGCATACAGGTTTCAGGCAGGATTTTGAAGAACTCGGTTGGTCAAACACAACGAGGAATCTTAAATCATAAGTACGGAGAGCTTGGGTGTCTGGCATTATATCTTTTTCACGTCAGAGGGCAGTTCCAGGCGGACGTTCGGCGTTAACCATGCGTCTTCTTGCGCAGAAGCACGGTAGTGAAAGTATAATTACACGCTCGACCCACCGTACTGTACTAAAGCTCCCTGGCGCTTTCACATCATCAATCGGGGCACGTTAGGATTACATTAGTGGAGTCACAAGGGTGCAGGGGTTGGCGCTGCGCCAACCTTACAAAGACACTGGGCCCAAGTTCGGCGGAAAACAAGTGACAAAGCCAGACGGAATCGGCCAACACGCGGACCGTGGACATGGAAAATGTCATATGCCCCCGACTCACTGGTCGACCAGAGCGGCTTGACCCTGTGACGTTTACCGGTATTTCGCATGGTCTGCGGGACATCAGAAGCTCGTGGAGGGCAACGATCGCAGCTGTCGGTTCGCGGCTGCAGCCACATCCACGCCCGAAAACGTGCGGATCAAGAATGAGTACCTACCCGCGTCGCCAGACCACCAACGCAACTCATCCCAGATACGTATGTCCAAATGGGCACGTTAAACTGCGGCGAGCGATTTACGTTCTCGGCATCATCATTATGGCTCATTCCCAATAGCTTTGTTTGACATTCTCACCTTGAGCGTTTTACGCGTATCGCGCCTCGGCCGAATGAGCGCGAAAAGCTTCCGCAACGGAGCTGACTGATTTCCTGAGGCCGAGCCAACTGCCCTTCGCATTCTAAACCCTTTTGACTGCGACCTGTCAGTGTTCTTGGCCTGTCGCTCCTTGCAAGCGGTCTGCCTGGCGATCTCGATGCGGAAAGAACCGAACAGCTGCATGCAAGAACACATGATCACCACGTCCACAAGCATTACAATACCTAACTCAACAATTGCCGAACAGAATATTCCAGTGAAGTGGAACCACCGCTTATGATACATTTTGCCCATGCCGAATCGCTGCTTGCGAAGTTTTCTGAGGCGACAGCAGCACAGGCACACTCAGCAACCTGCTTGGATCACGCTGCCGCCATCACATCTTGTACGACCATCATCCGTGCCATAAATTCCTCATACGAGCACGTCTGGCAAGTGCCCGTATCTCGCGTAAGATGCTTAGGACGGCGCTCCCGGACCCCGCGTCGCGCCTTTCATGCTGCTTATCACCGCATAGCAGCAGAGACAGTAATCTTTCGGTGGCTTTGTACACGGGCTTTGTACACGGGCTGTGTACACCCCGATTCTCAATGATTGCCATCCATCATCGCGATGATCGCTTCCGCGATGTGTTACACCAGTCATGAATCACCGAGAATAGAGCGAGTCACATTGTTACCGCACGTATACAGAACCGTCTCTCCTATGCAATCAACCTTACACTTCAGTGTCTGATGTCGGCTCTGTAAATCAATACGACTTAAGTGTCTTGGCTTCTCCTGTCCATGATCGCTAAATTTGAAGGTCAAGGAGTTGCTCAAGAAGTCGTCGTCAGATTTTGTGGCTATGGAGACTACATTCGTCCAGTGTTGCGATCCATCGGCGCTAGCGTATTCCTGCTCGGCTATACGGTGCGCGCGCTTTCACCAGCCTCCACACCGTTGATCGGACCTGGCGAATCTTGTCCCTTACAAGGATTTAGATCGAATCCAGGCCTCTCTTGCTTGCAACGTCGGCCGCTGTCAGCAATTTGGCGGGAGGCCCTTTTCTGTCGCAGTTTGAATTGCAGTTTGTAGATTACTGACCTTCTTGACTGGCAATATTTCTGAAGCAGGTTTCCTACAGCCAGGCTTGATGTCTGCAGCGTTTTGAAACATAACACCTACTAGTCGACGTCTTTATTATGCAAGGCGAAATTGACGAGCTTGCTCGGCGGTTTTATTTCATACTGACGCCGCGTGGATCGGCAAAGTGTGCGATCCCTGCGAGCGATCACCATCGACTCTACAGCATGGAAGGGGCATTTCTCAAACATACCATGGCTTCGATGTGCGTTCGATCAGCCCCTGATGTGTTGGCATACTTAAGAAGGGAAGTCCATGCTTTCGTGTTCAGCCTCGAGAGGTACGTACACATTCATTGCGAAAGACAAGCAGGTACCGTGCGAAATCAATTTTGGAATCATTCTTTAGTGAACTCGCCGCGGACGAACCATCTCGCATATGCTTCCAAAGTCAATTGAAAGTACACATGCTTTCTGTAAACCTGGGAGTATGTCGGTCAACGGACAAACTTCCGACGTGCACTGCAGTCCAACGACTCTTTAGCACGAACACTAGTTGAGCTACACAAGGCGCCATAGTGAGCTCAATTATGGCCTGATATGCCATGTCAAAATAACCATTTCTTGGCTTTTATGAGGAACATCTCCTCTCCGCGCCCACTCGCTCACGATGGACAAGCATATCTTGCTGCTGTTGCGAACCATCTGTCACTCATCCCGTCCTGTGTTGACTGAGGCTGTGGTGGGATGTTCCATGAGGATCTCCCAAGCTTGGCAATATAGTACCCAGCGTTGGCGCTAGGTCATCCTCGACTTGGAATCATGCGACGCCTGTCTACAAATCGTAGGTACAAGGCGACAAGCGCATTCTCGCAAATTTTGCGGCGTACTAGAGTTGCGCCGATGATACATGGATACTCTATGTAGAACTGGCGCCTCATTCATGTCATCGCGAACTGGGCATCAGTTGCTCAAAACTCCCAAGGTTGTGTGTACAACGGACCCCAGTCGAAATTGCACAGCTTCCCATGCGCAAGTTTGGCCACGACATCGACAACTCATCATGCTATGTGGTGCACGTCTCAAAGCAAAAGGAAACCTTCAATCATTTGTTGCAAAATGACCCCAAAGAAGATGCAGAATATTGATTCTGGTCCATGCATCCATTCTTGTGGGCGGTCCATGGCACAGGGCACCAGCCACGAAAGACACGCCATGAGGCTCGTGAATGGACGACAACTCCTGGCAGTCACGTTCAGCGGGGAGCGAGGACACCGAGTTACCGAACCCGCTTGGGATGCGTATTCGTAGCAGAGACAATACGCATGACCCCTAAACTCCCGTCTGATTACCACGATTTTGAATGCTGTCGTTAGCAGGTTTCGTACCAGGCGGCGGCGCGGGGCCACAGGCCGATCTCCTGGCATCGTGGCCCTGTTCAAACATAGCCTCACAACCTCACAGTGTGGCCGAACAACCAATGGCATCACCAAGACGCCCAATCACGTCCCAAGGAGTGCGATCATCCATGAAACTCAAACATGCACAGGATCGTGCGAGCTGCGCATGGACATGTGTCCTCGATCCCAGCCGTTTACCATGATCAAGGACCTCCTGGCTCTCCAAGCCCCAGGAGAATGATACACGGTGTTTACAACATCGCCAAGGCCGTAGTCTCACCCCCCTTCGGACTGGCAGCGATCTCAGGGACGAAAAGTATCGGGCGCGACTCATTCGGACGCTCGGCGCGTGGACCATCCGCCTTCCGCTCCGCCCTGGGGGTGATCGTGCATTCTCCTCGAACGCCTCCGGAGCCCGGCATTCTTGAACAGCAACCCAAGCAGGTACTACAAGGAATTCGAATTGAAGCCGTCGACGTCGGCAAAGATTCTGGACGGGTCGATAGGCGTAAACAATGCCCCAAGATCGACCGCCATGCTTCGCTCTCCTTTGCGGCATGATGTCAATAGAGGTTACGTACCACAGCTATTGGCCATGCCAACTCTAAGACTCAAGCCGCTAAAATGCGTTTTTGCAACACGGTTTGCAATTTCGGAGCAACCGCCCGCTACTCTAGCTGCTCACGATGGTTTTTTTCTCTGCAGTCGTGGAGCTCAAAATAGAGAAAAAGGTATGGCAAAGCGGAGCGAGGAACATATTCATTCCCCACATGGACGCATCAGACCCACAACACCATCGCAGGGCTGAAGAGGCTTCAAATGCGCCGGACCATCAACATTCTGCGCACCCACGTCACAGCCTGTTGTGACTGTAAGTCCCTGCGTTCTATCGCAGCATGTCTGTTTCTTCGGGCCATCCGGTCGCAGCACATCGGTAATGGGAACAAGTTGTACGACTGTAATCAAAATCACGATGGTAAACCCCTAACTTGTCGGACGTTCGGCTAACGCGCTGCCACGACGAACCCGCTTCCGAAGATGCACATGCACACGGGAAGCTTGCACAAGGTCCTTGAAAGTCGATACTCAAAGGAACAGCTCGGGCGAATTCTCGAGTCTTCTGATAGCTTCCTAAAGCGTACCTCACTCAGCGATCTCTTCAAGGTGACCGGAGGCCAGGCACTCACGTCAGAAATCCAACTGTGCAGTCTTTGCATCACAAACACGTGCGAGAAGCCTATCTGAGTCAGTATCCGAGGCCCTAGCCTCATCTGCAGCCTGATGAGTAAAGCACGCGGAACGCCGAAGCCATCGTTGATCGTCCCGCTGCATCAACTCCACGACGTACCCGCAACATCCCTGCCATGCACACACATCAGTGGTGTCCTTCTGTCACTACGACTCCACTCCCGCGACCGTTCGAGACTGCCGCAAAGTTTGGGCCACGCTGACAGAAATCGCGTAGAACGGTTGTTGAGTATCGAAGATGACGTCGAGCCGCGTGAATGGTGTGCGCCTCCTCGCGTCTTCGCACAAATCTGATACCGACCGACGACGCGTTAATAATCTTTTTCTAGATTCGCACAACGGCGCTTCGTACGACTCACCAAAGCCATGACAAATCGCACATGGCAAATTTTTTTGTACGAGATTTGCGGTTGCGAAGACTCGTCCGGCATGGCCGAGTTTTGCCCGATTCGATGATGCTCGTTGACAATCGTTATTAAGCTTTTCATCGCGCTATGCTGGTTGAGGCTCATTTGTGAGTACTGGTGTGCGTTTTGGCTTGGCATACATCTTCGAAGACGTCTGCATTCCCACATTTCTAGATGTCCATCTCACGCTCGCCTTCACATCCGCGCTAGACTTGTTTAATCTTAGCGCCGAAAGAATGGAGACCTCATCTATGAATTCAACGTCCTCACTTGAAAGGAATTATTCTTTGGATAAATTGGAGCAGTAGTAAGGATAGACGTCGGAGTATATTGACTAACGACATCGGGACCGCGATTATGTCGAACACTGATAACAACGAACTCGAAAGATTGAAAGTAGGCAAGTCCCATGCACATCTCCGCAACACATGAGTTGCAACTGGTCTCATTCCTTCTGCTCTCATTATACCAATCAGCTGCTTTCCAGTCAGACAGCCATAAGTCTTGCGCAGTACATATTCAGCTCCGCGCATATCAAACAGTTAACAGGCCTATCGCAATCAACAAAGCCTACCCATATCACACAAGCCCAAAGGCATTTCAAATCAGCAACACAGTGAATCTTACCCCGTCATCTCGACAGTACCCAATACAGCATCTCCGGAGTTTGAAAGCCCCGTCTGTGGAAAGCGTCATGTAGCCACGTCCTAACGCGGAGATTCGCTTGCACCTCTGGCCTCGACAGAAGATATGAGGGTAATGCATCGCTCACGACCCGAGCTGCATGTACCCGCTTTCCAAGCCCGTTTGCCAACGTTCGCTTCAGCAGGTCCGCGGAGACATGGGGCCCCACGAATCAGCCATGGGTAGAGGCTGCATTTATGTGTGTCTGAGTAGATTCCGGGCTGTGCGTCGTCCACCTCTAAAAGTTTGTTCAACGTTGTTTCCTCACATTTAGACGAGCCGTACAGTCGCACAAACCCATCAGCTCAAATCCGAAAAAAAAAGACACATGCGCGTCAGCACCAAAGCACATACTCCCCGTTGCAGACAGCGAGACGGCCAGATTCCGCACACCCAATCACCTAATGTGGATATGGTGACTTGCTCTCCACAGTCTCCTGCTGGACGTCCAGACCACACGGCTGGGTCCCGGGCGTCTGGTGCACAATTAGTAATAGGAGGAGACCTGCTGTTGAACCCTGATGTAAGCTGACACGCTGACATGCTGACATGGGGGGACGGATACGCGATACGCACGTAGGCTGTAGGATCTGGAGTGCGATTGAGGCCTGTATTTTGGGTCGCGGAGTAAAGTAAAACTTACGCATGTTGGGGATGGTAAAGTATAGTAGTGTAAGTGAACACTATCAAAAATATCCCTTTTTTTTGGGGGGGGGGGGGGGGGCGGACGTCTGATGGGCAGATAGACGGGCAGATAGACGGGCAGAGCTGTCAAACTGTAGACTTGCATGTTTCATCTTGTCAAGCTAGCAATTTAAAGAAGCTCCTTTTCCATAGTGAGTATCTGCACGCTGTTCACGATCTGCCAACGTGTATGTATATTCCACTACTTGTCAACGATTCTTGCTCCGCCAACCAGTGTCTTCGTCAAAGTCAGAAGCCCTCACATTTGGATACATTAAACACTGCCATAGGTGTATTCGAAGAAACCAATCCTTCCAACGATTTCCCCCAATCCATCCTCCTCCTACCCCAGCTCAGCACGCCACGCCACCGAGCCTACCCCCGAGCTCGGTGCCGTGTTTGTCAGCAGCGCCGAGTGCCCGCCTCCCCGAGACGGCGCCTCGGGCAGGGCACACGGTCGCTAGTCGCGGACGAAAAAAAGGTGCCTGAAGATTAGGGAGGTTTGTGCTGCAGGTGAGGTTTCACGACGTGAGATGGGTGCTGACTAAAGCTCAAGTCTAGACGCGGGATGGGCGGTGCAAACATGTACGTGGGAGTTTTCTGACTAGGCTGAGATGTTTGACTTGCAAGTGGTGGAGAGTGAGCGCAGTTGGTTTGGAAGAATGTTTCTTTTGCGGGTTCGGGGTTTAGGTGGTATTCCCGGCGTGTGGGGGACGTTGCCACTTCGGAGTGATGACTTTACATTCTGAGATCTACAGAATAGTTCGGGAGCTGCACTCATGGCGCTTTGAGTACAATGCACGAATCTACAATACGATTTCTGTTCGTATTGCCGTATGTGTGGTGTAGCGCCTCCTTGTCACCAAAGCATGCTGAACAAGCATAGCTACGCGATCGCTTAGACAATTCTCTGCGCTACTTCAATACGCAGAATAGCTTCTATCTGTGCTTCTGAGAATCTCAGCATAGTGTCTCATCTCTACTAAGGGATCAAAAATGACATTGTCACAGCCCCTCGGATTACTGGAGTTTGTCGTTTGTGCCACGACGGCTACCCGTGTATTTGAGATCAAAGTGCGAGGCGAGTCGGGTTGAACAATACGATGTGTAGTGGTACGGCGCGGTGGAGTGGAGTTGACCGTGGTCATGACGATCATTTCGGCGGGCGCTTTTGCCAGGTAAGCTCTCGGAGCTGCGTCTTCAATTCGTCTTTGAAGTGGTCTAGTGAAGAGGGACCGGTTCCTGCCATGAAATCAGCATTGTTCATGCCACCCAGTTATGTGGCAACATACTGCCTCCGCCATTCTTGGCTTCCATGTCTGGCAGCCTGTTGATCTTGCGGTAGGCTTTGTGTACGGCACGATTGAAGGCCGGGCTGCGAATGAGCTGCAGGGCTGTCAGTAAAAGTGGGCAGACACAGTCGTGGCTCGACAGACCTTTGATACAGCCCAAGCCTGTGACAACTGTCAGCGCCACAGTCCTATCAAACCCAAATGCAAACTAACCTCGAACAGCGCGAACCAGGGCGCCATGATCAAGTTTTACATGAACGGTGGCATACAAGAAAGAGTCGCCGCGTCAAGGCAGATATGCGCAGGCGTTGCGTTGCGGTGTTGCAGTGTTGTATTGCTGGTGGCGGCGCAGGCGGGATGAGATGGAAGAGAGATGGAAGACAGATGGTGGATCGATCTGCGGACCGCCATGTCGGAATTTGGAAAGACAGCTGCAGCGACAGGGTCCAGGCCTGCGCCGAGGTCGAGGTCGCCGTCGCGCTTGTCCCAACTATGCCGTCGACCGTCCCTGCCTTGGCTGCCTGGTCATGAAGAGGGCATAATGTATTTCGACAGTGTTTCCTTTGTCGTCCCTCGTCCTTGTCGCATCCACAGCCTGACCTTTCGCGGCAGCTTCTGAACGCTGACTGGGCCCACGACCGCGCGACGCCACAGCCCACCGCCGATCTTGACATCTTGAGCCCTATCGCGTGCGACCCCTCCATAATATCTACCTTCACTGGTCACTGGCCACTGGCCACTGGCGCTCTCCTGGCAAGGCTGAAAGACAGTCGCTGGCGCAGTTGCATGTTGGACTAAGTGGGCACGCGACTCCAAAGTTACTTTCCGAGCCTCGTTCGGCAGCGACTCGAAAAGGGGACATTCACCCTTACGTGTCTGTCGCTTGTAGAACACAAATCAAACAGCCCCCCCCCCCAATCGCTAATCTCAAATCCGCGGCCGATCACGAGTGACGAACACACCTGTCTACGGCAACTACAATACTTAACGCAGCCGATCCTACCACTTGCGAATCTTTACGCCACAGTCTTCACGAGCGCGCGCCCAATTACCCATACAATCGCAGTCCCGAGCCTTGCACCAAACGCCCTCCCGCCTCACTTATGAGCCCCGCTGCTCGCTAAAGACCTGTCAAAACATCACATCCTCCGCCACCATTAAGTCCACAAGCTTTCTCGTGTCCCCCAAACCACCACCCGACGCGCCCCCCAATACGCCCGCGAGCTTCTTCAAGCTGTACAAACTCCGCGCCCTGAGGCGCAAGACGAAACCCAAGGGCGGCCTGATCAGGACCGATCCCGACACCATGGCTTCGGCGCAGATACCCATATCTCCAACGTCGTCCAAGCGCTCGCGTAGCAGAGACAGCGCGCAATCAGGAACCACCTCTTCCCTCAACACTCCCGCCGGCAATACGCCCTTGGCCACGCCGTCTGTGAGCACCAACAGCCTCGTAATCCCCTCTTCCACGCCCAGTACACCATTGAACGGGGAACACTGGATTCAAGATGGGACTCCATACCCGGCCTTTTTGCGCGCGAATAGGGGCGATCTACACATGAAATGGACACATCTGGAGATGGCGCAACTTGAGCGTCTGCGGGACGCCATGCACGCCCAAGTGAACGGGTCCGAGCAGTCGTACGAATACTCAAGATGCAATGGCGAAGAGCACGCGCCACGCAATAGGTATGCGAACGTGAACCCATACCTGGCGCATCGTGTCAAGTTGGAGGTCCCCGAGGGACACAGCGACTACATCAATGCATCGCCAATCACCCTGACGACAACCAAGTCAAATACCGTCTTGAAATACATTGCTACACAGGTACGTTTCCAAATCCACGGGCTTTTGGCTGAGCTAATGCATTACTTCAGGGTCCGATAGCAGACAGTTGGTCGCACATCTGGCGCATGATCTGGAAAGAGAACCAGGACCCGGCAGTTATTGTGATGCTCACGCAAACCCACGAGACTGGCCGAGAGAAATGCTACCCATACTACCCACAGTCGCCATCGAATCCCGACATGCGCATCAACGAGCACGATGAGTTTGAGGACGGCCTCATCCACAACCTCCACCTGGCATCGCTACACCAGGACGAGGAGGCCAGAACCCAAGTCAGGGAGATTGACATGACAACGGACGATAGCGACGAGATGCGGAAGATCTGGCATCTTCTGTTCGCCGGCTGGCCAGACTTCTCCGCGCCTGAAGGAGCAGACCGCGCAGCTCTCCTCCGCCTCATCGAAATCTCGCGCGAAAAAGGCGGCGACCTCGCCACGAACCCCCGCATCGTGCACTGTAGCGCAGGCATCGGCCGCAGCGGCACATTCATCGCGCTCGAATATCTCCTGCAAGAACTGGCAGAAGGTAGCCTCGACGCCGTCCCCGACACCGACGACCCCATCGTCTCCGTCATCACGCAGCTCCGCGACCAGCGCGCCGGCATGGTTCAAGCCAAACTCCAATTCCTCTTCCTCTACGACGCGCTCCGCGAGCGCTGGCGCGAACACTGGATCGCCACGCACCCCGACGAAGCCGCGCAGCTCGGCATCGCCACCTCGCCTGATCGCGAGCCGGCACTCAAACGCCAGAAATCAAATCGTGAAGCGGGCTATGTGAGTGACGCTGCGTCAGATCCTGACGCGCGCGCTGCGCTCGAAGCGGAACTCCAGGGCGCGGATATGAGTTATCAAGGTGAGACTTAATTAACGTGCGCTTCTTGTAGGGTCCGGGATCGTCGAAATCAACGCCTATACGACAGAAGAGTGTGACGTTTCACGAGGGGTCGAACAAAGTCCACCGCTACAAGTCGTTTGACAGTGTTGTCTCGCCACCGCCGGCTCCGCTACACGTCAATCGTGATGGCGTCATTGAGAATATGGGCGCGGATGGGGTTCTCGTCGATGGCGCTGGTGATGTCGAGGCTCAACGGCTGCTTCCTCCACGTCGACCGCGTCAAAATCGGTCATCTTCGCTCAACACACTTCCCGGCTCTCGCGAGGACGATGTCCAAGACTCGTGCACATGTACTGATGAGTTTATCCTTTTTTGCATGGTTGTCGCTGCGATTGCGGTTGTTGGGTTAATGTTTCTTTGGTGGGGGTTTTTTGGTATTTGACTTTGGTCTTTTTCATCATTGGGTTGACTTTGGTCTCTCATCATTGGGTTGACTTCGGTCTCTCTATCATCATCGTTTTTGTGTCTTTCTTGCTTTGTGCATAGCGTTGCGGAGTGGGGTGGGCTTAGAATGTGGTTGGGTTGGGTTTAGATGGATATTCCCATGGCATCAGTGCTGCATTTAGAATACAATTCTGCATTCTTTCTACCACACATGACGTCTCCTCTGGCTGGAATGATGGTACTCAACTGTATTGCTCACTACATCCTGAGCACAGAAGTAGTGCTCGATCGTGTCTATGCTGCAACGGTGCATAAGCCCTAAAATCAGCCCCTCTGCATTATACCATGGAGATTCTTGACTTTGCCCCTGAATCATACAACCCTCCGGACTCCAATAATTTCTCTCATCATACATCCTCGACCTCGCATTCACCACCACTCCTCCCTTCCCCTTCAATTTTCCCCTCGACACAGCAAGAATACACTCACTCTGCAGCTTATCATGATCCCTATGTACAAGCCACTCCTTCCTCGCGAAACCAGCAGCAATACCCAGCCTAACCCGCCTCGCACGATCGACCCTTCGTCGTCCTCACACAGACACAGCTAACCGCCTCACTCCCCAACGTTAGCAGCGTCACGTCACGTCCCGCACGCCGATGCCGCCTCATATCCATTACTCGTGTTTGCAACCATCTCATACCCTTCCTTCCTTCCTTCCTTCAGCCCCAGCCTAGCTCCTCAAAGCCACGCCACTGCCCACTGCCCACTCCCATCCTTCACGGATGATCCGCTCCAACTCCACGAGGCAGACCCGCATGATCCACCCGATGCTAGTCCCCCACCTGCGCTGAATCCAACTGATAATAAGTATCTTGCCCACATACTCAGGCTTCCTGCACACAGCTGTGTGGATACAACCTGACCTCATCCGGACTGATCACGCGGCGTCCCAGTGGACCGCTAGGCATGGTAGCAGACTGCGTGACTTTGCTGCGCGCCTCGTCAAGGTAGCGGCCGATCCAGTCAATGCATACCCAAGGCGACTGCGTTGGAGATTGGTGGGAGAAGGTCTGGGCACCGGCGGCGTTCCAGTTGGATAGGTACTGGTTGGCGTGTATGTGGCGGACGTTCAGCTGCCATTTGCAAGACTCCGTATGCGATGATCTAGGCAAAGGACATGGAGCAAACTCCCTACTGAGCAAGCGAAGCGTACCATAGAAGCTGTTCATCTTTTCTCGAGATGGAAGTTTTGTCCTTCGCATACGTAGCGTGTAGTCATGGCTATCTCATATCACATTTACTCTACTGCAACGATCTCTACTACCCCAGGATATTCTAGAACACTGCACCACCAATGATAAACACTCTCTCTTCTTCTCGTCTGACCCACTGGATAATCTTATTTGCGCTTTGAGCCAACGCAGCCCTACTTGTAGCAGCAGGTGCCACGGCATACAGCTCGAAGAGCGGTGTGCTCCACGCCAGCGCTATACACGATGTGCCGGTCTCATGATGGACCTTGAGTGTCGTTGGTTTGTTGTGCACGTTCGAATGCAGCTTATTGTAGAGATTGAGGAGTCTGTAACCGGATTAGTCCACAGCGAATCAAAGGAAGCTTCACTCTAGCGAACAGCGCTGTGAGTGGTATGTCAAAGAACTCACCTTCGCTTGTCTAACGCGTTTTCAAAGTACGGCTCAAAACTTGGCATCGTAAACTGCACATTTCCCCTCGATTTATACAGAAAGTGGCGCAACGGGCTGCCTGGCACAATGTCTGTGCACTTCGGTCGACCCTGTCTGACAGCGGCCCTCATGGCCTCGATTGAGCCATTGCGCTGAAGTGTCTACAAACATGACCATTAGCTCGGGATTTCCAAAACCGATCCTCCCGCAATGGCAGGGTGAAAGCGGGGGCGGGACGGTGAGTCGGAGAGAAATGAGGGCAACTCGGGGAAGTGCATGACCCGAGACCGAAGCCCGAAAGCGAATTACGAAGGTCAGGCTACCTGAGCACAATAGGACCGGAGTTAAGTAGGCAAACTGCGAGAATGCGCGAAATTCCCCTTTTGACGCCCTGTGCATTGTCGTGTGATGGTCCTTCGCTTGCAATAGGGAGACTTTGGTGTATGAAAAAATGTGCACGTACCTCGACCAAATCGTCCCGCATACTGCGCAGCTCAAAGAAACTCTCCTTTTCGGCAGAAATGAGGAGAATTGCAACCTCGTCAGGTGCACCCTCGCTGGTGCTGGGCCGCTCTTGCATTTGCTCCGTGGGGTGTTCTAGGTTCAGGAAACTGACATACATGTACAGATATCCAGTGTTGTTGAATCCTGGTAAGCAGAGCGGGATCCAGTTCTCGCCGCCGCCTGCCTTGACACTGCCGGCTTCAAACAACATATTGAAGATCAGGTGCAAGTCGCCCGGATGCAGACTATGCTTCTTGGGCCGCACGACAGAAACCAACTTGCCGGATGCGACAATGAGACCGTAGAGCAGATTTTCAGAACGCGTCTTGAGGAGTGTGTTGTTGATGGTTGTGCGATGCGACTTGCGAAGCTTGAGACATTCGAGAGCGGAGAGCAGGGTTGATGAAGAGCCTCGTGTGAAGCCGTCGGCGAGTGCAGAAAGCAGTGTATCTGTTCCTTGAAGAGGTCGTCGTAGATCGTAGTTCGCACGGGCAGCGAACATGCGCTCCAAGCTAGGAAGTGTAAGTGTGGACAGGATCTGCATGTACAATGCTTCCAGTTGTGTGCGCAATTGGGAGTCGCTCTCCGGTAATCGAGTGATGGCGACCAAGTTCAGAGGGCCTTTGGACATGACAACGAAGCGGACGTCGCCCGCCGTGAAGCCTCTCAAGACATCGTTGGTTGACTGGTAGAAGGATATGATGGTCTGCACAACACCAATGTAGTTTGTGATGAGCTGGTCATCGCCGTGTCTGCTGTATATGGGCTTGCCGGCACTCGACAAGATGAGGAAATGTTTGAGTTTTGCGCGCCATTGACGCATAACAGCTTCTATTCACTACATCAGCGCACGCTACCACCAAGTACGCAGTGTGTGTCAAACCTTCATTTGACCCGTCTACACTCATCTCGTCGACCTCATCGAATTCGCGGTTGAATGCAGCGTCGAACTGGGGATCCGGCGGGAACATGCTCTGTGCTTCGCCGTCGCCGAACTTGTGGCCTAGCGACCGCAACAGCGTCTTCTCGGTATCAGTCTTTTGTTCATGCCCCAAGACCTCGCCCAATATGCTCTCCCCCTCACCCACTCCCTCTGTTCCGGGCATGTAGCTTCTAATGCTTGCGCTGTCGTCGGCATCGCTCGTGCTGTGGGAGTGCAGATTCGCGCCAAGAAAGCTACGCTGCTTTGTAGCAATGGATGCTGCGTCGTCTCGTGACTCGGTCCCAAATGCCTGGCCGGTGCTCAGTGAGAGCTGAGTCGTCGCTTTGGATACAAGCTGTGGTCTCGACGGCGCTTTTCGTATCGAGTAGGATGTCGAGGGTCGCGAGGGCAGATTCCCAAGCTGCGGTCGTGGAGGAAGCGGCGGTGGTGTGCCTTCACGTGATTGTGACGAGATACCGCTAGTCGATGCTCTACGCGTAATATTTCTCATGATCCCCAGGGTGGGATTCGCAAAGTCCCTCTGCTCGACCTGGTCGGGCCTCTTAGAGGAGCCATTGTTTGGCGTAGTAGGGGCGGTCTGCGAAGAGAGAAGCCGCTCCCTCAGGCTCAACACTCCCGGTCTCGGGCATCAAGACTCTTGTGACAGTGCCTCATCGAGGCAACGGGCGACGTGAAGGTATTGGCGACATGGTGGAGCCGTTGTGGGGAGACGAGTGCGACATGCGTGACGCTTGCCATGGTAATCACGATTCGTGCATGAGCCAAGAACTGATTCAATGACGTCGCGTCTCACAGTTCACACGTGATTCCAACACCACCTGCGTACTCTTCGCATGCAGGCTGAGTCAAATCCATCATCCTGAAATGCCGACGCATGCTATCTGCATCTCGAAAGATAGAACCGACTGGAGAATTCCAACTTCTACGTGTGCCAATGTCGTCACACATACAGTAGCTCGAACAATCTGAGCATTTATGTCACACTCTGCAAGCTATAGTTTACTGTAGAAGCTTTACAACCCATTGCCACGCCCTTCTCTTTCAGGCGTATCGTGACTGTTCAAGAGTTGGTGTAAATTTGGTGCTTTGCTGATGCCGAAAAGATAGCAGAAGCAGCAGTGTCCGCAGCATACATTAGACCATGGTCAGATAACCTTGCAATTCTTGCGTCTTTATATTACACTTCGGTGTAGGACGGCAGGAGTACATTTTGCATCAGTCAAATCTTTGAGTATGCTTGGTGTGATAGCGAGTGCGGTAGTGATTGATTGAGAGGTCACATTCCAGGCCTTCGATCACTCGCTGGCTCTGTCTTGTCGTGTGCATGGCAACTAGGTCGAAGAAGTGTCACGAGAAGGTCATAATACCGCGGAAGAGATGTGGACGACAATCTGAGACTAATGTTGTGGTACGAACGCGGCTTGTGTCACTGAACCTTCTATTCAGTCATCAGTATCGTGCGCAGAACCAATACACTGACTCGACGTATACACCCGATTTATAGCTGTACTATTATATAACAATACTAGCATGTATGCGACGCGCAATATCGTAGTTATCAATCCTCACAAATGAACAGCAAGGCATCAATCTCGTCTTTAAACTCACGCCCATTAAGTCTACGATCATGCACTAGAGTGGTGTTCTAGCCTCATCTCAAGTGGTATGGGTTCTTTTTCTCCTTGAACTTTCCAGCGACTCCAAGGTACTTCGCGTCCTGGAAGTGAGGCAAGCTTGCCGCATCTTCACGGTCGTTACCGTTCCAAAAGTCTCGCGATGAGTCCATGTAGTGAGGATTTGGAGGGTCCAACGTGTTGCTCCAGTCTTCAGCATCCTTGCATTCGTCAACAGGCTTTTCGCATTTGCGGCAGTTCTTCACGTTTGTTCCGTGCCACCACCTGCAAACACTGCACCTCCAATCTCCGATGTATTTCGCACTACTCTGGAAGAATTTGATGCCCGGACCTTCTTCCTGCTCTTCGTGTGTGAAGGCAGGGTCGTTCTTGCGCACACCACATCTTCCTCCACCAAAAAGGTGCTTCTGGCACTTGATGAGGATTCGTGCGTTCGACCATCCGCACTTTGCACATGTCCAGTCTCCAACAGCAGGAACATGGCTGTTTTTGGGCCTTTTAGGGTCGGACGGCGGTCGAGCTGCAGCAGAAGCAGCCCTCTTCTTGTCTCGATGCGAGTTTGTCGGTGGACAAGCAGGGGCGCTTTGCGGTGGTTTTGGCTCAGCATGAATTGCGGCCGGAACCACTGGTGGTGAAGATTTGGGAGCTGGTGCAGGTGCTACTTTAAGAATGGGTCAGCATATATCGAATAGACTCATATGCTCGCAGAACATACCTGGCACAACAGCAGTTCGTGCATACTTGGCCTTTTCAGCCGCTTTCTTCTTCAACATCTCCGCCTTTGCATCTTGTCGCATCTTGATGTCCTGCGCCGTCATCGCCCTATCGCGCTGGTCCTTTGCATCCCTCTTCGCCTTGACATCTTCTCGCCATTCGCGATTCTCTGTGCCAAGCAGCTTAGTCTCCATATCAACAGCCTCAAGACAACCAAAAGCGTGACGATAGATGTGCAACATGCGCGGATTACGCTGGACTTGTAGGCGAAACTGCTCACGAAGCTCAACGGATTGAGCATACTCCTCCTCCTCCAGATGGCGACCCTGTTTGGTCAAACGCTGGATGCGTCGCGTGTCTTCCGTGTCGACAAGCACGCCAAATGCCGGCGCGGCGCTGCTCGTAGATACCATGAGTGATCAGAGAATGGAGAGGTCGAAAAGTAAGCGGGGTGACATAGGGAGCAAATTTGACGCGTCGTAGAAAATCTTGTACTGTTGAGTGCGTTTGTCGTCCCATCTCTCGCGAATCCGTCATTGCTCATTCACTTCGAATGTTCTCAGCTTACACAAATTCCCACGCATGTTAGATGCGGCGAAGGCAATAGATTATCCTGAAGCTATACACTTCACTCGAGCCCTGAGATACTTGGGTGACGTACTTGTAAATATGGACAGGCTGCGGCGAGGAACCCGTGCTGCGAGGAACTGACAACGGCAAGGTACCGCAGATGGACAAATCGGCCATTTTCCATTCTCACCTCAAGAAAATGCGATTGAGAGTATATGCATATGAAAAGAACATTTGAACTCTAATGTCACACTGATCCTAGACTGTACCACACGTCTGCTAACGAGATCTTGTGACGATGACCAGCACACTCCATACTGCAGGCTAGGTAACTCTATGATTTACAAACATCCGATGTTACCTTAGAACGACTAACATTATCGTCTGGCTGGCGTATGACATGCACTGGAGGTCACTTCCCGCATCTGCTCACCCTCGCTGAGCCGCCGTCTTGGAGGTCGTCAATTGCCCGCGAGGCGACAACTGTATCCTAGCATCGTATTGAGATAGATCGTACAGTGATGTAAACCTAGTTCCTAATCTTATAGAGACCTCTGGAGATAGACGGGCCACATTATAAGATAAGCATAGGGATTCCCACAGTGATGCTATGCACAAAGTGAATCTTGTGTCTTCTCTGACGGCCAAGCTCAAACAGTAATTATTGAATGAGCGTATCTTGCCGCACCAACACAAACATGTGCAGGTGAAAGCGTGTGACAACCACTGCACTCGTTTGCTTGCCCCACTTTCCCTACACTACCCACAGCGACCTCTTCAAGCCAGAAATCTGCTCGCGCTGCTAAAAATATCTGTAGATGATATTCGTTATCGCAGTATACATATCAATCAGAATCCTTGAATCTCAATAAAAGCGTCCTCCGGGGTCTTGGTTCAGTCCGCCAGACAACATGTACTGGATCAGCAGTCATGAATGAACCTCGATAGTCCGCGAGTTCGAGTCCTGGCTTAGGCGGTTCTCCAGGAACGCACACACTACCCTGCGATCTGGATTGATCGTCCGG